CTTCGCCCTCCTCCCCTTGAATCCGTACTGTTTACTACTAGAGGGGTAGAAAATAAAATATATCTCTGTCATAATAATTATGTGAATTTAATTACTTTATCATCTTTTATTATTTCTTATTTTTTTTATTATAAATACAGTTTTGGTACATTCACCATTACTGAGAGTACCAGAGTGGTTGTATAATACTATTACTTGTTAAATCAAAACAAAACTGAACTCTCAAACACAAAACAAAAACTAGTACACAACCACAAATACCTACCTCATTGCAGACAAGAGACAACATAAGCAATAACGATGTTAAGGTCAAGTTACAGTAAATGGAATATTTCACAAATTTTGATAAAATTTGAATACAAATTCAGCTCGTTTGACTACAATTGAAAATTGAAAAAATAATCCATTCATCTATTTAATTGTTTTAAATTTTACTGATTAATATAAAAAAGGAGATGTGGTATGATTGCCAATGAGACAACTATCCATCCAAGTTCAAATGAATTGCCTTACTGTGGATGTTAGCAATTATAGGAACCGTACGGCCCTCAATAATGAGAAAAACCCATACCGTATAGTCGGCTATAAATGACGCCGACATGAAAAATATGAAACAATTCAATTGAGAAAACTAATGGCCTAATTTATAATGAAACAATTTACGATAAATAAGTATGACAGACTTGAACCACTGAACTAGAAGCTTCTGACATGGGACAGGCACGTAACGAATGTGGCGGGAATAAACATGTTTCTGAGCACTCAACCCTCCCCTAACCAGGGACAGTGGTGTTACAGCACAACATAAGAACAAACTATATAAATCAGTTGAAAAGGACTTAACTCATCAGATCTATACAAAGTAGAAAAACATCTAACGAAAACACAGACTGGATGTGGCAGGGTACAAAGTACAGATCTGGGAATACTTGCAGTTACTGACAGCTAGTTCAAAGCCAATAACTAAAAGAAATCATGTATCTAAGACTAATATATCAATCAGTACACATCCAACATTCAATGGATTTAGTGTAAAGACATGTAAAGTGTGAATTCATTCAAAATAAGTGAACATTTATATAGAAAGCACATAAAATTGGCGAACATTTTGTTAGATTTGTCTTAAAATCATCAAATCTCCAATTCTGAATATATACAGATTTTTCTCAAAGCATTTCTCGATTGTTATTGGTGTAGGGAACTTCTTGGACATCTCGGCCACCGATGCCCAAAAATTTGAATGCAGACATACATCATCATGGCCACAAACAACAGTCCACAAAACTTTACACTAAAGTTGACCAAAAACGTACAAAGAACTTGTGTGCTCCGGAGGATAAGTGGTTCCAGTCCACTAGTTGCATTAGTCGCTGTCGTATTGCACTTGACAATAAAAATCCGGTGATAAATTAGAGGCAACAGAAGTTAGCCGATGTTCAAAGGTAGTAATTCCATTTGGACAAACAAGAGTAAGAATCTGACGGAATCGTGTAAACTCCATACAGAGCAAGCCTTGGTGCGAAATCCATATCCAATAACATAGAGAAAATGATACTGATTCAGAATTTTCTTTTTTTGTTCCTACTCACGTTGGTTAAAAAAAGATACCAAAAGGCAATCAACAATCTAAATCTTAAAAGGGATAGCGAAATATTCACATAAAGTAAAAAGACCACCCAAAAGAATCAAATAACATTCACAAAAAAAAGATAATAAGTTCCTGCGACGACATTATAGATATTATTCATAAACTATTTTCACATGAATCAAATTATGCAAATTAAGTAGAAACACTTAAATATGAATGTATTGATAAACTATTAAGTGATTTGTTGGAATTAATGAGTATAATGTCATGATTGTTTTCGGATGATCATCACTGTAATGTAGCAGTTGAAGCTGGGACGGCTTGTTAATAAGTATGATATCTTTATTTTCTAATAATATATTACAGTTTGTTAACAAGTCCTTGTGACATTCAATGGAACCTAAATCACTGAAATGGAAGCTATGTATAATATTGTCATGTGTTTCAGTTAATTGACAATTTTTGCTGTGTCATAAGGCAATTGCAATAGTATTTTGTTAAGTGACATAAATAACAGCACAAACAAGAATGTGTCCATAGTACACGGAAGCCCAACTCGCACTATAATTTTCTATGTTCAGTGGACCGTGAAATTGGGGGTCAGAACTCTAATTTGGCATTAAGATTAGAAAGACCATATCATATGGAACATGTGTACTAAGTTTCAAATCGATTGGACTTCAATTTCATCAAAAACTACCTTCAACAAAACCTTTAACCTAAAGCGGAACAGACGGACGAACGGACGGACGGACGAACGAACAGACGCACAGACCAGAAAACATAATGCCCTTACTACTATCCTAGGTGGGGCATAAATAAGTAGCAAACTAGAGGCAACCGTAGTTTACCTATGTTTCCAGAATGTGACCTACCGAATTAGACTTATCACCGGGTTTGTACTAACATGAGCAACACGACGGGTGCCACATATGGAGCAAGATCTGCTTACCCTTTCAGAGCACCCAAGATCACCCCCAATTTTTGGTGGGGTTCGTTTTGTTCAGTCTTCTATGGTTTTCTAAATTGTGTTTTTGTGTACTGCTGTTTGTCTGTTTATCTTTTTCTTTTTAAGCCATGGAGTTGTCAGTTTATTTTTGACTTATGAGTTTGAATGTCACTTTGGTATCCTTCGCCTCTCTTTTTCAAATCAGTAAATACAGTAGGAATATACAATTCAATAGAAAACAACCTCAATGAATCGCATGAAATCCAAAAGGAGCAAGACTGTGTGCGTCGACAGGGTAAGTGTCTCCTGATATGCATGCGTCACTCGCAATATGAATCTACATTCAGTCAAAATGTCACAATCGGAAATAGGACACAATTGCGAACAAAAACAGAGCAGACGACTATACTGGTATAACAATTGTAATGATTGACAGTAGATATGGATATGTAAACAACAACAAAAGGTGAAAAAAGAATGTTACTAAATGAAATGTATGCGTTTATGTTTTCCGTGGGACCTCAGGGATGAAAAAAAAAATAATAATGAAAAGCAAAATCCATTAAACATGTTAAAGTTGATACTTTAAAATTTTTGAAACAACAAAAATGTATATAACTTTTATACATCTAGTTCCAGCAAGGCCATACAACTTTACCAAGTCCACAAGTTTGTCGGAACACAGAATAATTATGAGTTCTAATTAAGGTGACAGTGGTATACCGATGTTATCAGTCCAAATTTGTCAAAAGATTTTGTCGAACTTTAAAAATCTGTATCATATATTTGTTTAGAAATACTTCATTGTTGTCTCCCTTTGTTTATTAGATTATGCAAATATCGTAAAGTTTTGCGTAGGAAATTTTACATTTTTACTTCCTTATAAAAAGCTCAGGACTTAATGTTAGTGGCAGGTCCGGAAGAGTTGGGTTATCCAATAGAAACGCTATAATATCTCCCAGTTCAGTATTAGACCGCTTTCCTTTTGTTCCATGATAAGTTCGTCATATTTGTCAATAACTGTAGTCATGGTTAACGGGTTTACAAAGCATGATTTCTTCGTTGCGTAAAAATGGTTGAAAAATCGTTGCGAATTTGTTTATAAATCAATTGTTCGAATTTAAATAAAGCACCTACTGTAATGTATATTAGAATAAGTTAGTCTGAATTAGATTAGTTCAATATCATTAATAAAGAAACAAATCCAAACAATATATTTATAACTATTATTCAAATCTTACTGTGAAACATTTGAAATATGTATTCTACGTACTTCAAAACTTCTGATATATACTTAATATGTACATTTGAATTAAGGCAACATTAGTATACCGCTGTTCAAAAGTCATAAATCGATTTAACTGAAACAAATCCGGGTCACAAACCAAAACCGAGGGAAACACATCAACTATAAGAGGAAAACAACGGAACAACAGAAACGCTAAACTGCTACAAAAACCAACATACATAGAAACGGACTATTTGATATCAACTGCCATATTCCTGACTTGGTACAGGACATTTTAAGAAAAAATGGTGGGTTAAACCTGGTTTTATGGCTAGCCAAACCTTTATTATTTGTTAGTTGGATGTTGACATTGGCGAAGTGTCTCATTATCAAACACTTATGACAATGAATTTCGACATCATTAATCCTATTAGTTTATTGAGGCACAGTATGCTTACTGACCCTCAGTAAATCATGATGTCATAGGATGATCAATGTTAATGAATGATTATCAAATCTTACTTTTAAGGTAGCATCATATAAACGAATTGAATATAAAACAATTGAGAAGATTTCAAATGTCGAGATAAACTGTAAAACAATGGCCACACATGATAGTCTATAAAACTCTTCATAGTAAGATTGATAGAACACTTTTCCACTCAAAACTGTGGAAGCAATCAAGCAGTAAGCTGTTCCTGCTTCACTATTTGCCCCTGTCGTATTGCTCATAACAAGTCAAATCCTGTTATATAAATGCTATGCATGCATCATCCACCATGTCAATCCGAACTCACTTAAAATGTCACGATCGGGAATAGGACACAATCGGTGAAATTACAGATCAGACGACCACTTTAATATCTCAAGATCTAACATGTCGTTTTTTTTTGCCAATTGTTAAGGGACATTCTGTTTTGAATTTTCCTTGGAGTTCGGTTTTTTTTGTTGTTTCACTTTTCGCTATTGAGTTGAGCCACAGACACATCTTATCAGTCAACCAATTCGTGATGGTGACCCTAAAACTTTTAAAGTGTCGATTTCAATTGTTCTTCCTTAATACTCTATTAGAGCAGTTTTGTGTGAGGAGCACATCCCTGCCTATTAAATCCGTATAGTGTGAACATGTACGAGCGTAGCGTATCAATTCAGATATGTAAAAAACATAAGACGGGACAGAGCGTATGTTACTACATATGATCCAAAATAATCAAAGTAAGAAGAAAATTGCTCAATTCAAATATAGTGTAAAGGTATTTTATTTAGTGAATTATCTATTAAAAATGTGATGGATTTCTGATGATCACCGATGAGTGTTGAATGTATCTTGAAATTAGGATGGCCTCAATCTTCATTTTCTGAAATAAAGATTATCCTATTATTCACCAATTTATATAATATCTAGAATTATAAAGGAACAAGAATAGCTAAACTGGACCTTTATGTATAAAAAAAAACCTCATCATAGATACCAGGATTAAAATTTTGTACGACAGATGCGTGTTTCATCTACAAGAGACTCATCAGCGATGCTCAAAACAAAATAAAAATGAAATGTCAAATAAAGTACGAAGTTGAAGAGCATTGAGGGCCCAAAATTCCGATAGGTTTTGCCAAATACAGCTAAAACAATATATTTCTAAGTTAGACAATCCTTAGTATTTCGAAACAATTTATTTATAATTATGACCATATCAATGATATTTCATGTCAACAGAGAAGCGATGACTACTTGTGTGATATTTTGATGTGTTTCGATTTGTGCAGTTGACACCGCACTTTTGGTGCACGCACAACACAAAAAGCACATGGCATCTAAAGTGAAATTTGGCAGCTTTCGGAACCCAGACCACGTCTACTTAAGACTTGTGGACATCCCCTAATAAAACTTTCTAAAAAACAAACATCATGTATCATCAACTCAGAATATACGCGTAGTCATTGTATCGGTACTGAAATAATTTTTAACAAACTTTGCTTAAATTCTGAGAATCTCCGTAGATAAATTAAGAACTTTCTAAAAAACTATGGTACCAAATCCCTCAGGCAAAGTTAACTTTAGTTGCATTTGGCTATTTTTGGGTTCCCTTTTGGTTATATGGCTCTTCGCGTGTTTTGATTTTTGGGTTAAACATTTGGGTTTGAGCGATCCTGGTGGGGGCGAATTTAGAAAAGCACTTCGAAAGCAAGAACCTGAAAAAAGTGTCAATAACATAATAAATTTCATTTCAGCCACAAACTGTAATATAATGAGTGCGATTGTCTGTTAGATTACCGTTTTGTAATGCTTTTTGTAATTTTGTAATCTTATTTGCCAATTGTAAATTAAAGAGTTTTTACAAAAACACCAAACTCCCCAAGTTATTAATAACTTCAAAAAGTAGGAAGTTCATGATATCTGACAAAATCAACCGCTCTACTATATTCTGAATAATGATGGATAGAACATGGACAACATACAAAAACCAGCCCACAAAATACTTCACAAAAACTAATGATTGAGAAAGACGAATCCCACCAAAAGTTGATAAGTACTCCTAAGACTAGTTTTATACCATGCAGTGAAATCATATTTCTCTTCAACCCTTGAATATATTTGATGAAACAATATTTTTTTTTATCGTATCTTATACTTACAATATACTGTAAGTTTATATATAACATCTACATTTGACAGGATCAAATATCTGTTTAGAGGGGCACGTCAGTTCGACTGCTCCAAACGTTCCCAGAAATATCTTAAAATATTCTGGACCTGATGATGAAGGAACCAATGGACATGCTAAAATAGAGGAAAACATTGTGATAACATGGACATTTTCGTGATCACTTTGTATAAAAATCCATATCATGATTGAAAAAAATAGAATGTGTCAATATAGGCTTACCGTTCAGACTTTGAATGAGTGTTTACTTAATTGTAAGCCATCTGTGGAAACTGTCATAACAGTAGACTAGAAACAAATGCATATGACATATTTTTCTATCATATTCTAATGAGGAAATGTTCATATACCACTTGTATAATTATACATAAACAAGCATATAGTTAAAATAATCCTTAAATCGTTCGTTCTGTATTCGTAATAAATGAGTATTAACAAAAACATCGAACTCCCAAATGGTTACATCAAAAAGGAGGAGTCCAAAAAACCGGACAAATCAGACGATCTACTATATACTGAAAAATTTGTTGGTTGAACCTGGTTTTCTAGCTACATAAACCTCCCACTTGCATGATAGTTGTTTAGGTTCTGATATATTGACAAAATTGGTTAAATAAGACATTTTGACTCATCGCCCAATTCAACATCTATGCAACTGTCATACAAGTGATAGGTTTAGCTAGCTATAAAACCAGGTTTAATTCACCATTTTCTACATAAGGAAATGCCTGTACAAAGTCAGGAATATGACAGTTGTTTTCCATTCGTTAGATGTGTTTGAGCTTTTGATTTTGCCATTTTGTAAAGGACTTTCCGTTTTGAATTTCCCTTAGAGTTCGGTATCGTTGTTATTCTACTTTCTACTTCATTTAAGACTAAGTATGACAACTATCTCTCTCTCTATATATATATATATATATATATATATATACATTTGGCCTTTTAATTTTTGTAGGCGAAACGCGCGTCTTGCGTACAAAATTTTAATCCTGATAGCTATGATGAGTTTATATATATGTTGTGTACAGTATAGGATAAATCCTCATGATTATAAATCTAAAGGAGAAGTACTAATCTATTACACAAACCTGTTGTAGTTGATGTTGGTGGTAAGGTAACTATTGTCGTTTCTGGCAGTTTTGTCGTAGTAGTCATTGACGTTGTGGTGGGTAGTCTGGTGGTTGTTGTAACTATTGTTGTCGTTGTAGGTAAACTTTTGGTTGTTGTCTGGATATCTATGGTAGATAAAAGCAATGTTTATAACATTTACAATTCTTTGACACTGGTAAGTGATAAACGAGTTGAAAAGTGATACACGAATAAAAAGATAACATTGATTTGTTGCCATCTCATTATCCCCCACATCCCCAGGTAAAAAATAAGAATTACCGTTCATTGATAGGTATGCAAATTAAAGCGACAGTAGTTTACCGATGTTGAAATGAAGTAAATTGATTAAGAAACAAACCAAGGTAACAAATAAAAACTTAGAGAATCACATGAACTCCATAAGGAGTGAGATACTAAGGATGTGTCGACAGTACAAGCGACACCTCCTATGCATGGCTCTCCAGTCATTCGCATCTATACTCAGTCAAAATGTCACAATCGGTAAAATTACAGAATAAACGACTTTGCTGGTATCTAGAGATCTAAGACCGCGAAAACTTGTCGTACGGGTCCTCCAATTTGCGGTGGTAACCATAAAAACTAATGACGTGTCAATATTAATGATTCTTCCTCATAACTCGGTTGGAGAAGTCGTAATGAAGGAGGACACCACTGTTAATGAAGACCACATAGTGTGATCATACACAAGCGTAACGTACTTACGGAGAAATGTGAACGCCCTACGACGGAGAAGAGGACATCACTACCGAGAAATGGGAATTTGATAAATTTCGATGCACCGTGTAAAGGGAGTACCACTTCCTCCATTAATGATGGAGACCCTGGTATTAACTGTTTGGTCACATTAATGGATCTGTACACAATATTTTAAAAGATGAATTTTCCGCAAAGAAATAACAATCCTTTCTTTGTGTGAAAGTGAAATGAGATTTTCACCATTTGCGTCATTAGTGATGTTTTTGTGACGTCATAACTTTCGCTTAAACCTGATTGTTTGAAAAATTTATTACAGTTTTCTGAAAAATTAAAAGTGGCGCCACCCCTTGCCCACAAATTTTTGATGAAATATTCGTTATATACCATATTCTTATATCCAGAAATCAACGCCACTTTGCTTATTTGAATATTATACCTAAGAAATCGGATATGGGTCACGGAAATTATATTGAAATGATAGGGAATTTTGAAAAAAAATGTCTGTTTTAACTTTAATTTAAGTGATAGACAGGTTGCCGGGACAGAAAATAAATATACACAACAATATATACCATTTAAACGAAACATAATGACTGTCGTTGCAAAAATCAAGGTTCCTGAGCTATTTTAAAAATCGAAGCGAGAGGCTTTTAACATTGCAGTATAAAATACAGGCAAAAATGGCTGAAACGTCAAATTTGCAAACTTCGTGTTGAAAATTGACTAACAAGGTCATTACAAAAAAAGATTGCCGGGATGAAAATTGAAACTTGAATGTCCAAATAATAAGCAAGTCCAAACCTTGTATGTGTAGTCGTTGAACTCTAGGTTCCCACGTAAAGTTAAAATGCCCCTATTTCAAGAAGAATAAACTCACGAAAACACGAAAAATTCACTAAATTCGCGTTCATTGTTTTGATTTTGACCGCCTGATAACTTTACGGAAATATCAGAGTGATTATAAACAAGGACTCTTTGACGGGCAACTTATAATATCCGTGTTTTAAAGATTTTAATGATATCAAGCCAGTCCAGTTCAAACTATTATCACGTGGTACAATTCTCATTTACATATTATGAATATCAATTAGCAAAAGTACTACTAATCTCTGGCTATGTTTTCTCTTCAATCAAAATTTCAACGGACGAGGGGTGGCGCCGCATATAAATCTAAGAAAAAAGGTCGGAAAGGTGATACATTTCTAGAAAAATGCTGATAACATTGCACCTGAATCATGTTTTTTATAAAGCATACTATTATTTTGATAAAAATAAGCAATGTGTCATTACAGCGATAATTTGCATGTTACATTAATTTTCGTCACCTCAAACTCTTTTAAAAAATAATATGTCTTTATTACGATTGGCATTTGCATTTTGAAATCTATGTCATGTACTTTATAATTAAATAATCTAGAACCACATTAGTGGACTTCTATTACATTGAATTATTTGAATATTATGTATTTTGATTTTCGTTGTGTTGATATGCTGTTTAATTGTTGATTACTCCCATTATCTTGTAATTCATATATTTACCAGATTTAGATACACAGTCACAACTGGGAGGATGAAATATCCTTCCCGTGGGGCACATGAAGGTAAGTTCTCCCCATCCTGAAACTACAGTTGTGTAATATCTCTCTCCAAGCCGTGATATCATCTTGTCACAATTACCTGTAAAGGAAAAAACAGTTGATTACGCTAAACAAATTCAAAAGACAACTTCAATATATCTCACTTCTGTTTGGTTTTTTTTTAGATGGGGTTGATTTTGATATTATAAACGCATGGCAAAAGATGAATATTTGTTTTTTCGTATCTTATCTATCTTATTCTTAAAGTCGCTTATATATTTTATGCACTGACTCTTTTTAAGAGTCAATCAGACAACACGACTGTTGCCTCTGACATAACTTTCTGTAGAAATGGCAATTAATTCCAACATTCAACTGGTGGAAAAGTGGTTTCATTGGCAATAATGCCACATCTTTTTATTTCTATATTCAATTTTTCATTAATTCAAACTAGTACAATGCTGACGGGTTAGTTATGTAGAAAGAGTCTTTTTATGTTTCGAGTGTTGCAAATCCGATCACGTACTTGTTGTTTCTGATATCGTTGTTATAGAATGCTTTGTTGTTGTTATGCTGGCTGGTGTTGATGGGACGCTAGTTGTCGTAGGTTTAAGCGTTGGCTGTGTTGTTGTCTGAACTATTGTGGTAGACGGTTTCTTCGTTGTTGTTGATCTTTCTGTTGTTGTCATTGATGAAGTTTGAGATGTTGGCGTTGTAGACGTTACTTTTGTTGTTGTTACAGTTGTTGGAGAAGTTGTCTTAAGAGATTGCTTTGTCGATGGCGTTGTTGTCGTTAAATCTACTCTTGTTGTCGTTGTTGTCTCAGGGGAGATTGTTGTAGTTGTAGTTAGTTTTATGGACGTGGTAGGTTTATTTGTCATTGAAGATCTAGTTGTTGAATTCATTTCTTTATTTGATGACGGAGTGCTTGTTGATTCAGATTTAGCTGATGACGATACTATTGTCATAGTAGAAGGCATTGATTTTGATGTCGTTGAAGATTTTACTGTAGTTGTAGTTGATGGCATTTCTGGTATTTTGCTGATATCACCTGTGAAAAAACATTTGGAGATTATTTACTTTTAAAATTGGATAAAGGGACCATCAAATTCAAAATAAGACTGTTAACTTCCAAATAAAATTTTTAGAAAAAGGAAATAGAATGTACTTTTCGAAAGTCATCGGAATTTGGTAAATTTGCCGTTTAAAGAAATGTGAAGAATAAAAACAAAGTATGTTAAAATCTAGTCACACGAATGGCATAAGACATCATCCAGGAAACCAAACAAAAATATAGGATTTTTAATACCCATTTGAGGAATCTTCTTACTCGTACTTACTTTGGGATAGACATGTACAATATTCCACAACAAATTCGTGATCGATTGGACATGCGTTATTGATCCAAATATTTATTTCCGGTACATATTCTAGGTATCCATCATCAGATTTCTTATAAGGACAATCTGAAAAAAACCATTTTGGTGATTATGACTTTAAAATTATTTTTCTAGTTGGTACTTTCTAGGCATGGGATATTAGAACAATGATAATATTTTCATTGTCTTAAATTTTCTACTTATTATCATTAATTACGAATTTTATTACAAGCTTTTTTCCATTTCCCTTTAGGTCCATTATCTAGTACAAAAGTATCCGAAATTTCATTAAAAAAAAACCAGGTGGCAAACCTTGATCCCTCCTCTGGATCTGTCAATTGAATCCTATAATATTTATGGTCATTCAAACTTTATGGTCACAAAACCAATGCTTTCTAAATTTCATTTTTACAACGATACAATAAAATCAAAATCACTGCTCAAAGTTTTTAAAATATGAAATTACGCTATTTCTTATAACCACGATTTCTTTCTGAAACCATCAATATACTAATAAAAATAAAACAATTTTATAAATGTATACAATTTTATTCATTCATATATTTATATAAAACAAGAAACTTACTAAGAACTGTTGGGATGTTCAGTGGCGGAACAGTTGTAATTGGGACAACAATTATATCAGCTGACCCTGTAATGAAAATGTTTGAAACTTCTAAACAGTTGACAACTATAAGAACGGAGAAAAGACAATACATATCATCCATGGATTTGGAACCAGCAGATGCTACAACTGACGCCAGCAAATATTGAAATATTGTTCCGCTATCCGCGGGCCCTTTGATCCATATTCTTTGATATGTTTTTTATATTTTTTTTATTTCATAACTTCATTCCAAGCATTTTATTGATATTATCAAAAGGTGCCTTGAAGAATAACCAAATCCATTTAAGGTTAACTTTGTCTGAGGGAGTCATACCCTAATTTGTTTTTTTATAGTTTTCCAAAATCATCTCCCCGAGGGTATCACAAGTACAGTAGTCAGCACGTCTATGTTGACATAAATTACCATTGATATGGTCATAATTTTAAATTGATTGTTAACAATACTTTGAACTTTTCGAAATACTAAGGATTTTCTAACCCAGGAATAGATTACCTTAGCTGCATTTGGCAAAACCTTTCGGAATTAGGTCCTCGATGCCTTCAACTTCGTACTTTATGTGCCCTTTTTATTTTTTTTTTATTCTAGGGTCACTGATGAGTCTTGTGTAGAGGAGACGCGTTTCTGGCGTACAAAATCATAAGCCTGGTATCTTCAAAATTTTTTTTGCCAGAGGAAGTTGGACCTTAGTTTTTTTGCTAATTTTTATCAAAGTCACAAGGCATTTGGCATGTGACGTAATCATTACCATCAGGATGACAGGAGCACATGACAACATTAAACACCATATCCGACGGACAATCATTTGTTACCCATATTCCTATATCTGCAACATACTCCTTGTAAGATCTCTGGTTTACAGGTACGTATGGACAATCTATAAATAAGTATAGAATTAGTGTAGATTATTCATTTATTCTGTTATTATACTGAAGCGGGGACTGGAAGGGGTAAATAAAAAGATATGAATGACAGAAAAAATAATGCTGGATTTCGGTAAATCTCGGATCTATTAGAAAAACTCCAGTAGCAGCCAAATTATTCTTTATATCTATCAAATTATGTAGATATACAACATTCAAATACGACTTATCGTGACCATCAACAGCAATATAATTCAGATGCCAAAACATCATTTGCTGAAATACAATGTTCTGTAATTTTAAGAGAGGAATATTGAAAGCCTCTGGTCTATCAGTCTTAGTGTTTGATATACAATGTTTGAAGTTGAATAAATATGACAAATATAAGGATAAGAGTGTCATATCTGAGGTATTACTTGAACTGATAATATTCAACTAAATACTCGTTCCTTTATATATCGAAAAACATCAAACTTGATTTTGAGTCATGGACCTTTTGGTAGTTTAACTTTAAAAAATGTGACTATTTATCAAGCACGCTATCTAAATTCTATTTTTTAACATATTTAGTATCTGTTTATTTTCCTATCTATCTCTAAAATATAACATTAGATAATGGTTAATTTTTCAGATTGTTGGGTACAGTTGAAAATCAAATTTCGTAAACAAGTTTTTAACTAAAATAAATAATTCATAACTTTAACTGCTTATTCAAGTATTTTTCACAATTGAATTTCAAAAATAAATATAGGTCCAATTAATAAGTTATCCCTAAGATGGCACAACAATTAAATTTTTAACGTCTCGACAGGGTTGATACTTAATAAAAAAAATTATATCATAATTTCTGTGAGCCTAGCACCAATAAAAGCTTATTTGGATGTTGATCTTAACGATAAATATTAAAGAAAGACAACCTTAGTTCAAGGAGTAAAGCACATAAAGTACTTACTTGAGTTTGTGATTCCTGTGTACGATTTTGTACTAGTGACTGGTAGATCTGTTACAACTGCTTAAAATGTAAAAAACAAAATTCATCAAAGAGAAACAAAAGATACCAAAGGGATATTCAAACTCATAAGTCTGAAACAAACTGACAATACCATAGCAAAAAATGAAGAAAAAAAAACGATCAAAAGAGAAACAACAGTTCACAAAACACAACATAGAAAACTAAAGACTGAGCAACACGAACCCCTACTCAAAACCGCGCGTGGTATCAGGTGTACTTAAATATATTAGTTAAGGCTTATATAAAATAATGAGATGTGTTGTGATTACCAATGTGACAAGTATCACAGAGTCCAGATAACGTGGATTTAAGCAATTATAGGTACGATCTTCAACAATGAGCAAAACCCATACCGTAATGTGAATTTTAAACGCCTTAACATGGCAAAATGTGAAAGAATTTCAACAAAAAAAACAACGACCATGTGACTGCGCCACGAAATGAATAAGGCGAAAATTTTGATTGGCCAATCTTCTATGTATACTAGTCAACAAAAGAAACGATACACAAGTTTGAACTAAAATTTATCATTAAATATAAATAAAATGAAAATCTTTTAAATTATCCAATGAAAAACATTCATTTACAAAGCAAATGCATATAGTTAAAAGAATATGACCAAATTAGAAAGTTACAAAATACCAAGTTATTGAACACAGGGGTCAAATTTATTTTGCGATAAATGATGACAAAAGTCGGCACTTAATTTCGAAGATGATAATTAATTATTAAAATATCTGCAAAGGCATTCAAAATTTTAAGCAGACCATGTTTAAGTTTAAAAATTTAAAGTTCTAACACCGATTTTTGAATTTTTGGGTGAAAATACGATTTTTGAAATAACAAAAATACCAAAAAAAAATTTTCGCGTTTTTGCCTTAAATCAATTTAATTTTCATTTAACCTTATAAAAAAGGAAAAATATTCTTCTAATTTCATAAAAAGTACAAAGCATCACATTAAAGATCAAATTAAATTGACAATCTTTTGCCAACAACATTACCTACTCCGTCTTTAACACAGTGACATAGCATCACATTAAAGACCAAGCAAACATGGCAGTTCTCTGTCGTCATTCTTACCTATTCCGTCCTTAACACAGTGACATAGCATGACATTAAATACCAAGCCATCATGACAGTCAGCTGTCGTCATTCTTACCTAATCCGTCTTTTGCACAGTGACATAGCATGACATTAAAGACCAAGCCAACATGACAGTCCTCTGTCGTCATTCTTACCTAATCCGTCTCTAACACAGTGACATAGCATGACATTAAATACCAAGCCAACATGACAGTCCTCTGTCGTCAATCTTACCTAATCCGTTTCTAACACAGTGACATAGCATGACATTAAAGACCAGGCCAACATGGCAGTCCTCAGTCGTCATTCTTACCTAATCCGTCTCTAACACAGTGACATAGCATGACATTAAAGACATTGCCAACATGGCAGTCCTCAGTCGTCAATCTTGACTAATCCGTCTCTAAAACAGTGACTTAGCATGACATTTAAGACCAGGCCAACATGGCAGTCCTCGGTCGTCAATCTTACCTACTCCGTCCTTAACACAGTGACACAGCATGACATTAAAGACCAAACCAACATGGCAGTCCTCTGTCGTCATTCTTACCTACTCCGTCCTTAACACAGTGACATATCATGACATTAAAGACCAAGCCAACATGGCAGTCCTCTGTTGTCATTCTTACCTACTCCGTCCTTAACACAGTGACATAGCATGACATTAAAGACCAAGCCAACATGGCAGTCCTCTGTCGTCATTCTTACCTACTCCGTCCTTAACACAGTGACATAGCATGACATTAAAGACCAAGCCAACATGGCAGTCCTCTGTTGTCATTCTTACCTACTCCGTCCTTAACACAGTGACATAGCATGACATTAAAGACCAAGCCAACATGGCAGTCCTCTGTCGTCATTCTTACCTACTCCGTCCTTAACACAGTGACATAGCATGACATTAAAGACCAAACCAACATGGCAGTCCTCTGTCACCCAGGCGTCAATAGATTTCTCATATTTTTGGTAGGTGCTCTTTCCAACCGGTCGCAAATCACAATCTAAAATTAGATTATTGGACACATTTTTTTAATATATTATTGCTTCTGTTGCCTCATGACTGAACAATGAAATACAATGTAAGCTAGCCCATGTTTTTGTCCTGAAGTATAAAAATGGTTTGCCACACGCTTCATATAAGGTGCTTTGTAGTATTTGCCTGAACCATGCCTGCTAACTATGGTAATATAGAAACTGGCATATACACCCCTGTCCAAGGCTAGGACAGGGTTAAGCGCAAGCAAACATGTTCAATCCGGCCATTTTATGTATGTGCTTGTCCAAAGTTTATAATTCAATGGTTGTCTTTGCTTGATGTCTACCATTTTTTTTTGGGGGGAGGGGGGTGGGGGATGTATTTGGATTCTAGTTCATAATGGCCTCATTAGCAATCACATTATACATTATTATTGTCATAATAACCAGGAACACAAACGTTGATCAGTGAATCATAAAATTAAGTTGAAGATCAAATTAACACTGCAAAACGGACATGTACAAATCATTAAATTGACCTTGTATGTGTAGACATTCTTTGACCACAAGACCTTTCACAGAAATATGAAATAAAATTCAATAGCCAAAAAAGGAGATGCCGCCTTCTTAAAGTGATTTTACTTTATAGATACATTACTTTTATTCCACTAGGCAAGAAAGACGTTCTAAAGATACTTAAAGAGTTATTTCCCATTAATGTTATATACAATTATTACCTGGATTCGTGACGTAGGTAGTATCAACTGCTAAAGTTGTTATTTCTGGTTTTTGCACCAAATCTACACAAGTAAAATTAATTACATGTTCATTTTTTATTAATTAAAATTTATACAGAGAATGATGCTATCAATCCAGCTTGAAAAAAAGCACCCGAATTAGATAAAAAATGGTTTTCTATTGAATTAGTGTTTCCTTTAACGTCAAGTTGGAAGATAACGTGCACAGATCTCATCATAAATAAATCAAATTCAACTGACATTACGAAAAAAAAGTTTTCTGAAATATTTTTATTAAAGTTGACATGTTAATTATTATGAGAAGCCATTGTATTATTTACTTTCATTTACACAGGTACAGTGTGGTTGACTAAATACTTTTCCAACAGGACAATCATTGGTTACCCATGCACCCAATGATGGCACGTATTCATTGTATGACGTCAGACCGGATGGTTGTAGCAAACAATCTGAAATGAAATCAATACACAGTGTACAGTGCATCCTCCTAGTCAGGCATTAGTTTCCTTATTATAAAGCTACACGGATTAATAACTTTTTTGTATTGTTTTTAGTTCCGGTGATTTTCTCCTCTGAACTATTTTACATTATGCCATCCCGATAACTTTTATAGATTACTACACGGTAAGGGTGTTTCCAATTTCTTCAAGACATGAGATGACCTGTCGGTGTTCTCATCATTATTCTTTTGTCCTTAGTAAAAAGTTGTTTCTTTGGCAAAGACACAACATCTCCTTATATTTGGTTTTTTAATAGATAAGGTTGTAAGAGGTTGGAGCGCAAAACTGGAACAGTCTGTTCAAACTTATGTATTATTCGCACATGTTTTCTCTGACGTCTTCAAGAAGATAGAACATATAAGTTTTTTTTTTTAATTTTAACTAAGTTTCACTAGTAAAATAAATAATATGTAATATAAACAATCCACATACTTTTATATATATTTTCAACTTTCAGCTCTTTTTTTGTTTTGTTTAAACAGGTACTGCCTTGCAAGCATTTATCTATAAATTTCCGAAATTTCAAATAGAAGGAAATCATGTTAATAATATACTATATTTCAAAAATTCAAAAAGTGGGTTAGGAATGTTTGTATCACGTTAACGCCGCGTGGAAATCCATCAAAGATACCTAGCTTGCAATTTAGTACACCAGACGCGAGATTTGCCTACTAAAGACTCACCAGAGTCGCTAGAATCAACACAGTTTGAAGTTCCAAAAAATTCCAATTAGGCGAGCATTGAAAACAAACCAAAATTTCCAAAAGGTAATCTTTGTCGGAGGGTGAAAAAAACTTAAGTGTTTTGAATGATTTTTACACTTGTTAAAAGTACAAATGCATGTACATTTGTATTTGAGATTTGAAAATGACCGTTTATCCAGAAATTTTCGTGTTGTTAAATTTTTTGCAATTTTCGCGGTAGACCTTAACCTTAGGTGAACAATTTTTTTTTTAATATAAATGCACCGTTCAAGACCATGTATCGCAAATGATGTACACATCGAGGATTAAACTGTCCATCTGACGCCAAAGTCTTGTCAGTACCAAAACCCAACGCGAAAACGACCCGATTTACGGGGAAAACTTACTTGCTACAAGTGGCGGTGTCGTCACTAAACCGGAATAATCAGGTGTTTGACCTAGAAAATAAAGATCATTATACGATGTTTCAAATTAAAAATTCATTACTTCTAGTAATTTACCTTTATTGAGTTTTTTTTCAAACTAGCATGAATAATAGATGCTTAATATGTATACATAGTTATCTATTGATTTTACTTTTCCATTTAACCTAAGTAGGTCATTGAATTCTAGTTAATAAGTTTACATCTGGAATGATAATTTAAGGTTTTTGTAAAACACGGAAAATGACAGGTTATCATAGACAATAGAATTAACGTGTAGTTTCAATCAATATAACCAAAAGACATCTAGATGACAATATATAGTCCTCATTAAAAGACAGGAGTTTATATACAATTGATTTAGCTTTTAATCGTCCTGAGTCTATACAAATTTTGAATAAATTAAATAGTCACGATCAGAGACCTGCACTTTAAACCCACACCAAATTTTCAAAATAACACAAACCATCAAGATGAACATTACGATATGACATATTAACCATAATGTTTATGCCCCACCAAGGGGCATTATGTTTTTCGGTCTGTGCATCCGTTCGTCCGTCCGTTCGTCCGTCCGTCTGTCCCGCTTCATGTTAAAGTTTTTGATGAAGTTGAAGTCAAATCAACTTGGAACTTAGTACACATGTTCCATATGATATGATCTTTTTAATTTTAAGGCCAAATTAGAGTTTTGACATCCAATTTCACGGTCCACTGAACATATAAAATGATAGTACGAGTGGGGCATCCGTGTACTATGGACACATTCTTGTTGTTTTTGTTTTATCAGCCCTTCAATTGTTTAAATTTAAAAATATTTTGGCCTAGAGCAATATTGAAGAGTCATTTATTGTCGAAATACCCATCTGATGCAGTAAAATTAGTACCATCATTGTTTTACTTACAAATCTTTATTTCAAAGTTTAGCCATTTTTGTTCAGTGTATACCTAGATTCATTTCTTATGGTTAAAGAGCAGAAAGGGAATGCCCAAACTGTAGGGTACGTACAGGGAACGTTCTAGAAGTTTTGCTCGCTCTCTCCGTAGACAGGGTATATATAACAAAATCTACGTTGCCCATTATTGAGGGCCTGGGTGGGGGTTCTTCATTCTGTATTCTTTCATTTTGATGCCATGTTTCTATATTCATTAATTGTATTGTCTATTGTTCTTTATACTTTAATTATATTGCCCATTATTCTCTATTCTTTATATTTAGTACCCCATTCTTTATTATTTTTTTTTTCATCTTTACTATCTATATTTTGCTCATTATTATATAATCTTTAAACCCCATCAAGACCTTCATATTACTCGATTCTTTATATTTTAGCTTTCCATTATTCTATATTCTCTAGTTTTATACCCATTCGCTACTCTTTAAGTTTTTGGCCCGTTTTTTTTTCTATTTTTATTTTTTTGCGCTGTATTTTTTATTTTGAAAACCTCATTCAGATCCTCATGTATAGACATCTTACCTTCTATAAGACAGGTACACCACTTAGGACTATATACCTTCCCAGAAGAGCAGTCATAAGTCAGCCAATTCCCGAGACTGTCCACATATTCCTTATATGATGAAGGTCCATCTTGTATGTATGGACAGGCTGTTTGAAGGAAAGGAAGTTTAGTAAAATTATACTAGCATTGGATAGAAATGACACTTTAGTTGGTCTTTTTCTTATGTTTTTGTTTTTGTTTTAATACCTCCGTTGGAAAGCTCAATATCGGTAAAAGTTGTTAGTTTTCTCAATTGAATTGTTTCATATTTTTAATTTCGGGGCCTTTTATAGCCGACTATTCGGTATAGGTTTTTCTTATTGTTGAAAGCCGTACGGTTGCGTATAATTGCTTACATTCACTTCATTTGAACTTTGGTGAATAATTGACTCATTGGCAATCATACCACATCTCCTTATTTTAATATTCAATAAGTTGTCGTTGTCACGATATACCAGACTATCGCAAAGTGTTGCATATTTCAGTATAGCAGAAACTCTTTTGCCCTTCCAGAGCACACGAGTTCATCCGAATTTGCATAGGGCAAGAGAGAGGCGAAGGATGCCAGAGGGACATTAAAACTCATAAGTCGAAAATAAACTGACAACGCCATGGCTAAAAAAGAAAAAGACAAACAGACAAACAACAGTACACAAAACACAACATAGAAAACTAAAGACTGAGCAACACGAACCCCACCAAAAACTGGGGGTGAACGCAGGTGCTCCGAAAGGGTAAGAGTTGCTCAATCTTAAGCTTTATGTTTTACAGTAGTGTTTCGTGAACTGTTCTTTCTTTGTCATTTCGTTGTGTTACAGTAGTGTTTCGTGAACTGTTCTTTCTATGTCATTTCGTGTTAACTCTTTTGGCAATTGTGCTCTCCGTCTTTCTTCGACTTATGGGATACAATCTTCTTTCTTTTTTTTTAATAATTCACACATAATTTGACGTGTGTTCTTATGTCAGTTTGTTTTGTATAAACGTTTCAGTTAAGAGATTTAATCATGGCAAGTTTTGGTGTTCCGCTGATGCCCTTTTATTCTATTTTTTGTTCGCTCTCGGTATTTGTTATGGTTTGAATTTTTGATATATTCTTATTGTGTGCTATTTATGTATTTAAAGCATTCAACAACATATTATAACTTTAACAGACGATAAATATATCCGAAGGACTACTAATGAAAGACGTTATTACCAAACGACCACATATAATCATGTTGCTATGGTACATATACTTACTTGAAGGAGGTTGAACAGTGTAAATAATCGTTGACGTTTTTGCCGTAGATTTTTTATTTGACTGTGAATATGTCGTTGTATCTGTTAGAAAGAACAGAACGAATTAAATTAATTGTATCAAGCTAAAGTTTTGACGACATTGTCGTTATGTCAAATCAGCATCCTTATTTTTATATATTTGTAACGAATTTACCCTCCATCTAAACTTTTACGGTATTGCTGGAACACATTTAATAACAGTGACTTATAAAGGTAGAAAATAAATTGATATAACCTGCCATGCATTTTATATATATATATATAAGTCTAAATTGAAAACAACGTTCAAACCTATGATTGCGTTGGATAAAAACCGCAATGTTTATACGTGTGCATGCAAAACAAATTTCTTGGTAGAGGGGTCTAAATACAGCACAAACAACATTTTCCAAAAAGACCAAAAAAGTGAAAAAGTATATTTAAACAAATATATAAACAAGTCTAAATTGAAAACAACGTTCAAACTTATGATTGCGTTGAATAAAAACCGCAATTTTTATACGTGTGCATGTAAAACAAATTTCTTGGTAGAGGGGTCTAAATACAGCACAAACAACATTTTCCAAAAGACCAAAAAGTGAAAAGTATATTTTAACAAAACGCATTTGACTAAAAGGTCGAACAACTGATGTTCTTAAACCCTGCTGACTGCCATTGGCGACTGCCAAATAAATTGATCACCAGATGTAACATGGATCTTAATTATTAATATAAAACCAAACACAAAACAATAAACTTGCGGAAAAGATGGTGTACCGCAAATATGAGGTGCAAAAATTTGTACACCATATCCGGATTTCGACAATTAATGTCTCTTCAGTGATGTTAGAGATCGAAACGGTATTTGGAAGGCCACATAATTTACCTCAATTTATATATATATGTATGTAGCTTGTGAGAAGAGGTATACAAATCATTTTTTTTAATCTTTTTTTTTTTATTTGTTGACCAAATTTTTTTTCTTTTTTTAATACTCGTATGAATTTTTGTCAATTATTTACTGAGAATCGATATGCATGATACTTAATTACCGCCACCTTAGACCACAGAAAATCATTATACCTTGTGAAATACATTTACAGTACATAGCACTATACATTGTTCCATGTGGGCAGTAATTTGTGACCCAATCACCAATGGACGGAAAATACTCCTCGTATGACGACGGACCTTTTTGTCTATAGGGGCAATCTGAAATATATAAATCGTATAATAGTTTTTTCATTAAAGAAATAGTTGATTCATAGTCAGAAATGTTTGACTTTAATATTACAAGTATTAATGAAAACTTAGGACTGGTTTGACTTGAGGTTGCCACCTCGGTAATCCGTGTCGGTTATTTTCCCGTTGCTGTTCGACATATGACTGGAAGGTACAGTACTCAGTTGTTTACCTCGGAAAGTCTTTCCGGAAGCAGTGTTCGCCAATCACAGTCTACCTCGAAAAGTCTTTCCGGAAGCAGTGTTCGCCAATCACAGTCTACCTCGGAAAGTCTTTCCGGAAGCAGTGTTCGCCAATCACAGTCGCTCGATGTGAATCCACCGGTAATGCCCTCGGTATGTATATTGTCCCTTGATATTAAGCAATATGTAATCAAGGAACAGTTATCAGCAATGTGAAATCAGAGAATCAGTTTAACAGCAGCTGTCATATGTAATCTTTTCGAATATGTCTTATTAATAGCTAATTGTTCCGCTTCGATCGACGAAAAAGTATAAATTTCCTATTAGAATCGAAACAATTCCTAAATGTCATGCTAGATGCTCATTTTTGCATGAGTAGGCATTGCATTTGTAAATATCTTTATACCGAGCGTTAGAGCATGAAATGAACTAATGATTTCTTAATTCGGGATGGCAAAACGATAACCATATATAATTAAACAAATCGTTGATTATTCCTTACATGGGACAAATATAACATGAATAGATAAACCACGTGACTTACCCTCTGGTTGAACAGTTACAAGTGATGTTTGTGGAGCTGAAGTAATGTAATCCTCTACAATGAAATAAAAAAAATCTTTGCACCGGTTTAATCTGAAAAAAATATGCTGACAGAACAACCGAATATTATAATAAAATTCTGCTATTGGCATCACGAGAAATAGGTTTGCTACGATTTTTCGATATTTTTGCGTACACTTTCTTTGAAAAATATTGTGATTGAAAGTTCATTATCTGGTAACAGACAAACATGTAGTTTTACGTTTTCATCCCTTGTTCCCATAATCATATTTGACTATACACTAAAAGGGTAACAGGAAACACCAAAAACATTGGACAGTACAATAGCCCTCACCAACAATTAACACCGGACTTCTCCAGAAAAGACAAGCTTCTCAAGTCCGTAATTATTTGACCGATATTCTAATTGACTCAAATTTGAAGTCGTCAAGAAATTATCTCTTTATAGTTATCTTTGATGTGGAATCAGAAAGTCATTTTTCTGTGATATTGCACAACGCGGTGTACTCTAGGTATTCTATTCTACAATTAATTTCATGATACCATTTAACATTCAGCAAGACACGACACCTAGCTGGCTGCCGACGTGTGGGTTATATCTCGTGATGGCTGATTTGTGCTCAGCAGAAGCTGCCTACCCTGTCGATGCATTTGGTCTTAGTTTGTTACATCACAACTTACTATAGATTACGGACTATATTGGGATGGTACAACAAGACGACTATTTGCATGCTCAGGAAATACCCTGTTCACGCCTCTGGTCTAATCAGTACATTAGTTCATAAAATTCCGGTCTTAGATTTGTCAATCTTAAAATGACCACGAGGTTAAAATGACAGGTGAATACTGCTTTTATATACATGTAAAGGAGGCTTGATAATAAACCATTATTCTCACATTTTGCAGTGAATTCAAGTTTCAAATATGTCAAACCTGAGCAATCACATTGTTTAAATTTATTGACTCTTCTCTTCAACTCCCAGGAAATACAAGATTATACTTACTTGGTAGTGCACACATGCAATAATAGATTGTACTTACTTGGTAGCATGCACTAATAGATTGTACTTTCTTTGTAGTGTACACATGCAATAATAGATTGTACTTACTTGGTAGCATGCACTAATAGATTGTACTTACTTGGTAGCATGCACTAATAGATTGTACTTACTTGGTAGTGTACACATGCAATAATCAGTTCGATATACCATAGTTTGAGGACATTGACCTGTTACCCAGTCCCCAATGCTATCAATGTATTCCGAGTAAGATGTAGGATCAGATTCCATCACTGTACACTCTTTAAAGTATATATATTATTTATAGAATTAAGATATGGTTTTAAATTTAAACGGGATGTCGTGCTACAAAAAACATGTAATGCATTCTATAATTGAAATTAGATTGTAATTAAGTGGTGCGTGAGTATTGTTTTGTCAAATTAGTATGTTTCTTGTGCTTCCTGTCAATCTGATGAGTCGAGCCATTTCCAACTGATATTTACAGTTTGTTCAAATGTTGTACTGTCACACCACTGTCGAAGGTTATTTGGTGGATTGAGCGCTAACAAACTTGTTAAACCCCGCTCCATTCTTTATATGCCAGACCCAAGTCAGTAAGTCATTGGTTGTCGTTGGTTGCTCTCTTTAATATTTGTTTTTTGTTTATTACTTTTGCTGATATTTTACGATGTCTATGTGCCGAAAACCTAATGATATGTTAGTTGAGTTATCTCTGGTCATTTTCATCTCATTTAAATAGCTTTACGCTTTGTTGTCCTAACGGAAGTAAACTTAATAATTTCTGTCCTTATATTGTGACGACGCTAAAACGAGAATAGCGGGGTAACTGGGCATGGTGATATAGGCATGCGCAAGTGTATTAATCAATGATAGAAAACAAACAAAACATGGGGCTCCAAAAAGAGGGTTAATCATGAAACAAGTCTCGCACTTTTACTTTTGATATATCCTGGTTATTTAACTTACCTAGTATAAGAACTCTTGATACAAAAACTTACTTTTCTTTTCACAACTACAGGATTCCAGTTTAAATAATGTCCCTGTTGGACATGGCAAATCAAATTCCATTCCCCATGGTGTTGTTTTTCGAAAATATGTGTCCCCTAATGGGGATCTCCGTAAATCACAAGATGCTAGAAAACAAATCGCCAATGTGATTTTAATTACTTTGTCATATACTGATACTTATATCCGACAAATTTTAGTTAATATGTTCAGTTATTACGTAATGTTTGCAAATTTTAGTTAATAAGTTCAGTTGTTACGTAATGTTTGCAAATTTTAGTTAATAAGTTCAGTTATTACGTATTATTTGCATATAAATTATAATAATTAGTTTCAGTAAGTTTTCGGCTGTCTCATCCCCTCTTTCAGAAAATTCTGTTCAAAATTCAAGATGTTAAACACATGGCCCAATATATGCAAATCTGTAAATGTTGTACACTTAGTTATAGTCAATATGATGTTATGCGCTTGGTAGTTTCCATAAAAACAACATAACATTAATTTTAATTTGTTCACGCCTTGCATTTTTATTGCATGTGCAGTAAACATGTGCCTTGGATGTCAAATGCGTTTAGCATGTTTAGATAATATTACAATCAAAGACATCTCTAATCGATGAAATTTGAACTTTGGTGGATACTTGTCTCATAACACATCTCCTTATTTTTTTTTAACTAATATCAATATATAAATTGATATTGAACCACATTTGTTTCGGTGATGATGATGGATGATGACTGTTCAGCGTCCAGTGGTGGTACTTATATGAACGCCACGACGGGTGCCACATACCCTTCCGGAGCACCTGAAATCTCCCCTCCCCTCCCCCTCCCCCTGGTGGGGTTCGTGTTGCTCAGTCTTTAGTTTTCTATATTGTGTTTTGTATACTGTTGTTTGACTTTTGGTCTTTTCCTTTTTTGCCATGGCATTGTCAGTTTATTTTTGACAAGCAAAAAGAAAGCTTGGCCAACTTGTTATTTCCTGGTTTTGCATTGCAATCCAATGAGATCATGCTTCTTTTTTGTAATTTTATAAGCTTGTAAAATAGGTCCTTCGACCAACGATTTTAAAACCAATCAATTTATTCTTTACTATATATAAATTACCGTCTCTTTTATCTATCTTCTTGGATATCTCTGAAAAATAAATTTTAATTTGTCATTTTAACTATAGCTCCTAACGTTCTCGCGATTTACGATCATGGCCTTGAATCATGTTTCAGTTTGAGCGTTTTTTCAGAAAGGTCATTCCAGAAAAGCGCTTCTGACGCACGAAATTTATTATGCGTTTATTTCATTGATAATTGAATATATTGGATGAATTTATGTGAAATTTCCTTTTCAGTGATCTCATCTTTCATTGCGCTTGAATGAGAAGCAATTTTTATTGAATCATCTTTGAATAATTATCTTTAGTATAGTCGTATTGAAGGTAAAAAACAAAATATGAAAATAACAAATCCAAAGTGCAGAGTAGTAAATGTTGATAAAAATGTACAACAAAATAGTGTTTTCATTTATTTTGTTTTTAAATCGACAAGAAACAACTCGCTGTTTACATGGTATTCGATCTTATCGAGTGCTTGAGGCCGGAGATTTACTGCTCCGCTAAGTAGCAACAGCAAAAACTGATTGGTTTGGAGTTTCCGCTTTGGATGAAGTATGAATGAAATTTCACAACTTAGGGAATACTCCAATTAAGACTATAAAACAACGACACACACACAAAAACACACACACACACACAAACACACACACATAGACATGCATTTAGTGCTCAACATACGGACTCAACAGCAATGTCTATAAAATTTGATAAAATTCTATTTAAACGTTCCGACAATAACTTTTGAATTGGTATGAATAATTATGTTCATGACTTGAGACAGGCACATTTAACATAATTATACTGGGGGTTATTTTTTCATTTTTTTTGGCTTATTTTTCAGCTCTCTCCTTTCAATCACGATAAGATATAACACAAAAGAAAGTGAAATAGAAACAGTACATGAAAACATTAAACTCTATGGTAGTGGTAAAATAGATAGCAAAACATTATAAGTACAGCAAAACAAGTACTTGTTTTATGATTGGTTGATTAATTGATTGAATGGTTGAATGTTGTTTGCTTTACGTCCAGTGGCAAATATATCATCCAAGTTCAGGATGATTGGTTTTCTAGTTTAAAGAATGCAATATGAAATGATCCAAACACCAAAATAAAGTCAATTAATTTGTATCTGAAAGACAATACATACATTATATTAACCTTTTTAATAAATACTCAAAAGTAGCAAAACTTGATCAAAATTGTAGTTTGGAGCAAACATAAGTTATAATTTGGTACTTGTTAATAATTTTTGCATAAAACGTTTGAACCTCAAATTACACACATGGATCTGTGATACTATTCAAAATGACCATGGTCAGATGTGAAATAAAAATAATTGAGGTGAAAATGACACTGACTCTGTGTACTTAACTAAAAGTTAAACAATATTTTATTTCTATAGTCGGAACAAAAGTATAAGGAAAATGTATACAATCGAAAAATGCGAATGAAATGTTTATAACTTCAAAATTACAATGTACAAATGTATAAAAAAAAGTAGGAAAGACATAAACCTACCATTTCTTGTATCAACTTGGAATGGCGCTGTCGAGATAACTTCAAGAAGATAAGTCAGTATCAGTAATGTGTACATTTATTATTCTTTCCTGAAAAAAAACATGTGGTGCTGATTTCAAAATGAATAATAATTGTAAAACTTTAAAATGAACGTACATTAAAATAAACAAATGAGTAAATTGAGAAAGAAATAGATGTAAAAATTGAAATGAGCATTCTAAAGTCTAAAGAGATTGGTATCAATAATATACAATTCCATATGAGGGTCTAGGTGGAGGTTCTTTGTTTCTGTATTCATTTCTTGGAATTTTTTCTCTATTCATTATACTTTTTGCCCATTATATATTCTCTATTATCTATAATTTTGCTACTATTTGCACCCCATTATTCTCTATTCTTTATACTGATGCTGCTATTTGCACCCCGTTATTCTCTATTCTTTATTTATTGGTTCATGGTTCTGTACTATTGGTCCATTTTTCTCTATTCTGTAAACTCCATTCAAACCCTCTTATCTTATCTCAATTTTAGAAAAAAAATCGCTAATTTATAATGATAATATAATATTAGTAAAAACAAAAATGATAATGATGAGCAGTAGATTTTTAAAAAAATAAGTTGAACAATATATTTATGAAACGAATTGTTTTACCTTTGTCTAGTTTAATCCAATTATTAAAAATACGTGTGTACATAAAAACAACGAAATCGAAATGGACAAGATGAGCCGGGGGTCAGACATTACTAAATAGTTTGAATACAATAAAATTTAAACGATGATACTATCAGAAACATAACAGTTTTTGGTTGTAGATGCATATCACTAACCCCGCAGTCAAATATTTTGGTTAAATTTGGAAATTTAAATAAAATTCGTCATACAAAAATTATCTTATTTTCAAAAGGTGTGGGCAACGATTTCATTCTATTCACTTATACTATTCAATTGAGTCATTCAATGAAACAGTTAATCATTCCTAATTTCTGATCAAACATAGGTTTGTTTTGCTTGTATTTCAAAATACATGGTAATAAATAAGTACTTTTAGTCAGTGGATATCGATTAACAGAAATCAATTAGGTCTATATGCACTTAAAGTATAAAATTCTTATATATAGTTGGACTTGATTCTGAAGTCAATAGTACTTCAGATCAACCGCAGTACTTGAGCAGGTAAATAGGTATTGTTTGAACTATATCAAATTGTAAACTTTTTGTTAGCAAGACAAAACTTTATCCACTGTATTCTTGTAGTTTATTTTAGTGAATTGCGTTCAATACGGATGTACTTAAAATCAAATTGATAAAACCAGTTTAATTCAAAAATCTAAATAAGATATAAAATTGAGAATGGAAATGGGGAATATGTCAAAGAGACAACAACCCGACCAAAGAGCATACAACAGCCGAAGGCCACCAATGGGTCTTCAACGCAGCGAGAAAATCCCGCATCCGGAGGTGGTCCTCAGCTGGCCCCTAAATTAAATTGTGTACTAGTTCATTGAAAATGGACGTCACACTAAACTCCAAAACATATAAATGAACTAAAATTAAAAAACATACAAGACTAACAAAGGCCAGAGGCTCCTGACTTGGGACCGGCGCGAAAATGCGGCGGGGTTAAACATGTTTTGTGAGATCTCAACCCTCCCCCTATACCTCTAGCCAATGAAGAATAAAGAAACACATAGCAATACGCACAGTAAAAATTCAGTTTAAAAGAAGTGCGAGTCATACACCCACTGTCAGTCCTTAAAAGACAGAGATTTATCTTCGGACTTCGATTACTCTAATTGAAATCATTTTAAATCCCAAAACTTATCATCAGTGGTCACGGAATAGAAGTTCCTTCATAATATAAGTTCCAAGTGGAAGAAATATTCTGTAATATTATTTCCATTGGAACAAATATTACAGTATTTGTTCTTTACGGAATAAGGAATAAAGGGTATAGAATATTTGTTCCAACAGGAACAGATATTATGACATTGTTTATAACAAAGTTTCCAGGGGAACTTCTGTTAGGCGGAATAAATATACGTTGACAGTCTCTGTAAAGCAATCTTCCGAAAATGCGATCCATGACAAGATGTCCGTCAAAATGTTCCACTTGAACAGTACATGTGTATAATACATTATTTTGTAGTACTGTTTTTATCGAATACAGTTTCGTATTTTGTATTTGCTTGAAGCATATGGATGAATTCTGCAAATAAAATTACAATTAACAATTCTGTTATTTTTTTTAATTTGCTTACCAAAATCAAGGCCCCTGAATAAAGCCCCACGGGGAGGGGGAGGGAGGAAGGTAGTCCATCCCCTACCCCGCCCCCACCACCACCACCATCCTTTTTGCCAAAAATGTGCTTTTCGTACATTCTTCTGATTTTGATCCCTCTCCCCATTTAGGCAAATATTTTCTGTGAGTCGCTCCCCCTTTTAAAAATCCTAGATCAACCACTGAAGGTGACGTTATAATCCAGGATTGTTTGCAATATATTCGGTGTCATACTTTGATAGATAAAAATGTTTTAGCAACGACCATTTCTTAATTACACTAACTTCATGTATCTATAAATCTATAAATTTGTCTGAGAAATTGGGTTTTACCGAAACAAGTACATGTAGCCATGCATAATACACATCACTGAGATGATAAAAAGTGTATTTCTAGTATAGAATCTGGAAAGGCGATGTTTTTGAATGACCGATTCGCGGTTTGTCGTCAACTATGTAGCGTTGCACGTGACCTACACTGTAGATTTATGCGACTGTATGGTGATGACATTGATTTAGGAGATGAAATAGATTTGTTAATGTTTATAGCATCATCTCCTATTGTTTGTTTCCAGGTAACCTCGTGTCAATACCAGCCACATGTATTATATTATCGATTTCTGTTGCTGGGACTTTTCATAATAATTACAGATGGAATATTAGTATTGAACACCTAATGATTTAATTTTTAGAATTTACTGGAAATAATTAAGGTAATTTGTGAAATGGTACACCAGACATATTCTAGTTAATTGCTGCTAGGCTTAGTAGCTGTTATCCGGATATTGGAGACAGTTTAGGTGCAAGGTTTTAATCCTATTCCAGTACGGAACAAGGGTTAATTCATATAAGGAATAATTATCAACGGAATTAAGGTCAGATTTTACACATTGAAATAATTTGTCTATATCTTTTTTTTTAATTTTTTACCCAATCATTTAAGATTTTGTAAACTACGATTAAAGTTTTTTTTTACTGAAATATATACTTCATACGACTTTCTTTACTAACATTTATATTGACATTTTTGCTGTCACGATTGTTTCGCGGCGCAATTTACGTGCGTTCTATACATTAATTCTACAGACTTATTTCAAACATTTATAATTGATTTTATGTCTGGAATTATAAAAATGCTTCTCGTTGTGGTGAAATATAAAGATATAAACATAAGGAGATATGATGGATATGTTGTCTGTTGGTTAATGAAAAACTATCCAACAAAACTAATGGACAAACTTCTATACAGCTTTTAACACTAAGCAAACCATACAACAAGCTGCAGGACATAAAAGATACATGGATAACAAAATGTGACAAAAGGAAGTTTATAGTCTGAATCTAGTTTTTCTCATTGTTGAAGGCCGTACGGTTGCCTATAATTGCTTACATCCACTTCATTTAAACTTGAGTGGATAGTTGTCTCATTGGCAATCATATCTCCTTATTTTTATATAAAACATTAAACGGTCAAATAAGCGTGCCCGCCTCGAGTGCGGGAGGTCATGGGTTCAAAAACGGCGTGGTCAAACCAAAAACTTGAAAATTGGTATTTGTTATACTTTTCCGCTAAGCAAGCGACATTTATGAGTAAGGACAAGGCATGGATGGCTCGGAGTCAGATTAATGTTTCCGATTAGGGTAACATGTCTTAATGCGGTCTGTTACTCTGTGAACTAGCACGTTAAAAATCCAACTCAGTGTAAAAAAAGTATATCATGGTCCAAACGTAAGTGGGCTATTTTTTTCCTTCATTTTTTCATGCCTTCGCGACCATAATTGAGGAGAGGTATTATGTTATCCTTGTCCGTTTATCCGTCTTACAGTCCCACATTGGGTACATAGTTTGTCCGGTGATTCCTAAGTTTTCAAGCCATAATTTTTACATTGTGTGTGGTGTTGGGGATTATTATCAAGATTGATTTGTGCTTATTATTAGGATGTTGCTTTGGTCAAAATCCACAAATGACTAGGTGATGAAATGTGTCATTTTGTGGTGAAATTAGTTATGTGGGGTACATGGTGTTTCCGGCTAACTTCACCTAAAAAGTATTGACGCTAGAACTGCGCCCATGATCATCGGTGTTGATTTTCTTCAGATTAAACGCAAATAATACGATATTGCACCTCATAATATTAGTCTCATTATTTTTTCCCGATTTCTAGACAATTCTTCAAATGGTGCCTTTCCTTTTTATTCGATTTATTTTTATTATTATTTCTTCCTGGTCCTGAATATATGCATGAACACAGTATTGGTTTGGTTTATTTTTGAAGGCCGTAAGGTGACTTAAAGCTGCTAACATCCACATCATATGGTGTCTGTCGAATAGTTGTCTCAATGACAATTGTACCACATTTTCTTAATTTAATATTTGCCACTGGACGTTAGATAATAAACAATGATCTATTAATCTCATTTGTCGAAAAGAGACAGAATTGGAAATGGTGTCATTATTTTCAAATTATTTGTACTCAAAGTTTGATGCGCTTTTCTTAAATATTTTCAAGAGTAAGTGGGTGCAATAATTTTACTTTTTACTTTTTTACATGTGTAAGGAAAATAATTCTAGATACCATAAATGAAGCTCCAAATCGCGATGATTTCTAGTGACTATGATTAAGGAGATTTGGGGTTTATAAGTCAATGCAAAAAATAAAGATATCATGCTTATGATTTGGTACGGCTGACACATATTTCTCCTACACAGCAGTGGCCTCGGTCGATCAATGAATGCCAGATCAAATACAAATGAGGCAGCAACTCAATGATATCAATAACTAAAAGACATGTTGAGACCAACAGTAGTTTCTACATGTGTTGCAGGATCTGTTTACCTTTCCGTAGAACCTGAGATCACCCATGGTTTTTGTTGAGGTTTTTTTTTATTTTGGAAAGCATTGTCACTTCGTTTTCGAATTATGAGTTTGACTATTCATTTTATATCCATCGAGTTTGACTATTCTTATGGTATCTTTCGAGTTTGGCTATTCCTGTGGTATCTTTCGAGTTTGACTATTCCTTTGGTATCCATCGAGTTTGACTATTCCTGTGGTATCTTTTGAGTTTGACTATTCCTGTGGTATCTTTTGAGTTTGACTATTCCTTTGGTATCTTTCGAGTTTGACTATTCCTTTGGTATCTTTCGAGTTTGACTATTTCTTTGGCATCTTTCGAGTTAGGCTATTCCTTGGGTATCTTTCGAGTTTGGCTTTTCCTTTGGTATCTTTCGAGTTTGGCTATTCCTTGGGTATCTTTCGAGTTTGGCTATTCCTTGGGTATCTTTCGAGTTTGGCTATTCCTTGGGTATCTTTCGGGTTATGGCTATTCCTTGGGTATCTTTCGAGTTTGGCTATTCCTTTGGTATCTTTCAAGTTTGACTATTCCTTTGGTTTCCATCGAGTTTGACTATTCCTGTGGTATCTTTTGAGTTTGACCATTCCTGTGGTATCTTTTGAGTTTGACTATTCCTGTGGTATCTTTTGAGTTTGACTATTCCTTTGGTATCTTTCGAGTTTGACTATTCCTTTGGTATCTTTCGAGTTTGACTATTCCTTTGGTATCTTTCCAGTTTGGCTATTTCTTGGGTATCTTTCCAGTTTGGCTATTCCTTGGGTATCTTTCGAGTTTGACTATTCCTTTGGTATCTTTCGAGTTTGGCTATTCCTTTGGTATCTTTCCAGTTTGGCTATTCCTTTGGTATCTTTCCAGTTTGACTATTTCTTGGGTATCTTTCCAGTTTGGCTATTCCTTGGGTATCTTTCCAGTTTGGCTATTTCTTGGGTATCTTTCGAGTTTGACTATTCCTTTGGTATCTTTCCAGTTTGGCTAATTCTTGGGTATCTTTCCAGTTTGGCTATTCCTTGGGTATCTTTCCAGTTTGGCTATTCCTTGGGTATCTTACGAGTTTGACTATTCCTTTGGTATCTTTCCAGTTTGGCTATTTCTTGGGTATCTTTCCAGTTTGGCTATTCCTTGGGTATCTTTCCAGTTTGGCTTTTTCTTGGGTATCTTTCCAGTTTGGCTATTCCTTGGGTATCTTTCGAGTTTGACTATTCCTTTGGTATCTTTCCAGTTTGGCTATTCCCTGGGTATCTTTCCAGTTTGGCTATTCCTTGGGTATCTTACGAGTTTGACTATTCCTTTGGTATCTTTCCAGTTTGGCTATTTCTTGGGTATCTTTCCAGTTTGGCTATTCCTTGGGTATCTTTCCAGTTTGGCTTTTTCTTGGGTATCTTTCCAGTTTGGCTATTCCTTGGGTATCTTTCGAGTTTGACTATTCCTTTGGTATCTTTCCAGTTTGGCTATTCCCTGGGTATCTTTCGAGTTTGACTATTCCTTTGGTATCTTTCGAGTTTGACTATTCCTTTGGTATCTTTCGAGTTTGACTATTCCTTTGGTATCTTTCGAGTTTGACTATTCCTTTTGTATCTTTCGAGTTTGGCTATTCCTTTGGTATCTATCGAGTTTGACTATTCCTTTTGTATCTTTCGGGTTTAACTATTCCTTTGGTATCTTTCCAGTTTGGCTATTTCTTGGGTATCTTTCCAGTTTGGCTATTCCTTGGGTATCTTTCCAGTTTGGCTATTTTTTGGGTATCTTTCCAGTTTGGCTATTCCTTGGGTATCTTTCGGGTTTGACTATTCCTTTTGTATCTTTCGGGTTTGACTATTCCTGTGGTATATTTCGGGTTTAACTATTCCTTTGGTATCTTTCGTCTCTCTTGTCTAAATGTTGAGAGATGTCTATAAAAATATGTCAAGCTCTAAATCACAGAAAGTCTATACAAATTGTGAATACAAGAATTCTTTATTAGATACTACCAAAGTTCTGGCACTAACACAAAACAAAACTGTTAATGACAGATCTTTTTTGATATTCTCAAAATATGCTTAATTCATTCCCAATTTTTGTTTTTTACTCCGGTCGATTTAGAGGTTGACATGAGAGTTGGACAGATATATGTCTATTGTTGAAAGCTATGTTGTCTTTAGATTGTTTTTACTCCGGTCGATCTAGAGGTTGATATGAGTTGGACAGATGTCTGTCTATTGTTGAAAGCTATGTTGTCTTTAGATTGTTTTTACTCTTGTCGATCTAGAGGTTGATATGAGTTGGACAGATGTCTGTCTATTGTTGAAAGCTATGTTGTCTTTAGATTGTTTTTACTCCGGTCGATCTAGAGGTTGACATGAGTTGGACAGATATCTGTCTATTGTTGAAAGCTATGTTGTCTTTAGATTGTTTTTACTCCGGTCGATCTAGAGGTTGACATGAGAGTTGGACAGATATCTGTCTATTGTCGAAAGCTATGTTGTCTTTAGATTGTTTTTACTCCGGTCGATCTAGAGGTTGACATGAGTTGGACAGATATCTGTCTATTGTTGAAAGCTATGTTGCCTTTAGATTGTTTTTACTCCGGTCGATCTAGAGATTGAAACTAGTTGGACAGATATCTGTTTATTGTTGAAAGCTATGTTGCCTTTAGATTGTTTTTACTCCGGTCGATCTAGAGGTTGACATGAAAGTTGGACAGATATCTGTCTATTGTTGAAGGCTATGTTGCCCTTAGGTTGGTCCCCTCCATAAAATATTCACTATACCTTCGGAATATACAAATATTGTCAAGCTTGTCAATAACGGTCGGGTACCAGTCTATGTTGCCCTTAGATTGTTTTTATTTGTGTCGTTGGGTTTACACGTCCTATCATGACCGGCTTCCGGTACGGCAGATACAATATGATCGGTGGTCTCGATTTTGTCGGGTTTTACGGACTTCCCCCCTTTTTGAATTAATCTTGGAGTTCTGTATTTTTGTTAATACTTTTTTGGCATTCAATTTTTAATCGTGTACCACATAATCTAATATGTCTGCTGTATCGATAGCCAGTAATAGGGTATGGTTTTAGGGTGTGATTTGTTTGGATTATTTAATTTAGTAATGTTTTATATCGTTGATGTATGTTCACACAATTTTGGCTGCTGGATCCCAATTATTATCACGGTAACCTATTATGTCACACAGTTTTGTCAAAATCACGGAACTATATACAGCTGACATACAGTCAAGTGGGAGGTTAATATAGCTGTAAAACTAGGTTTAACCCACCATTTACTTCAGAAAGTGCCTGTACCAAGTCAGGAATATGACAGTTGTATTCTAGTCATTTCATTGGTTGATTTAGTCGACCAACCAGCGTTTGGATTTTGTCAGTTTTCATGAACTTCCTCTTTTTGAATTTACATTCGGTTTCGAGTTCGGTATTTTTTTTTCTTTTTTAATATGATCTCCTAATATTCATATCACTTAATTTTGACCTTTCATTTTTTTTATATGATCTCCTAATATTCAGACCTTTCAACACACTTTCTTTTATCAATACCAATATTAGATATGATTGGATACAGGTACTTAGGGCATTGTATTAAAGTTTCAATAATTACATTGTATTAAATGAAAAGCTATTTATTCCGGTTTCCAAGAGCGCTGTTTATGTAATATAAACACAATCAACCACACCTGCCAATAACATTTATTTATTCATTTCGTGACTCTTTTACCGGATTCAATTTTCAATTATCAATTGTGGAATTTAACAATATTTCTTTTCAAAATGTAATGGAACCATTAATTCATTACTGCCAGCCTCATATAGTGTTATCTTATTGTAAAAAATTAATGTAGTATATCTAATTGAAAATTTATGGCTTTATTGTTGTTTTGACGAAGCATTATTGTTGCATGGGGACATGTTAGGGCGGATAAATAATTGACATTTTATTTGTTTAGAGGGAATTCTTTAAATGATTATTATAGTATAACTATTTAAGGTCCAGGGGGTAATATTACATACATATTCAGGACGATAACATGTTCATGATATTTTTACAATATTCGTATACGTAGGAAAATATTAGAAATTATTTGTACGCCGAGCTTAAGAAACAGGAAATAGGCGAGATTCACCGAGCTTTTCTACTGTTTCATTGCCAGTATAAATTAAGTCTTTATCTACCAACAATGTACGAATATAGTTTTCATCAAGAAATTGGACATTTTCACTAAAACGTATAGTTTGCTACGTATACCTTCCTACCCGTTGAATTTGTAATTCAAGTAAATCGACATGGCTTAAACGCGCACCGCAAACAGGACCCTAAATTCGAACTGACAAAAAAAGTTATTTTGACTTTACTTTATTGAAAAAGCGCTGTATGCCCATATGGGCCAATGGCTTACAAACATATATATATATATAATATTGAAAACAATGAAAATAAACAATTCATATACATCTTACAATTATCATTATTTTTCATACAATTAAAAAGATTGAAATATTTTTAAGGACTCCCTTCCCTCAGTCTTAGTAACTTTTTTTAAAATGAGCCTAATTGGTTGGTATCCTGGTTTTTTTTCGGTATTAAGAATTTGTTTTAATTTATCCATATGGTTTACGTTTATGTTAGATTGCTTTTCAATAAACAAATCTTTTCTTCATTAATTTTACATTTAAAAAATGCAATGGAATTCGTCATCTAATACTTCACAATGTGTACAAATTTCTTAAATCTACCAGTTTCTATTGATAAACTGTACTTATTTCAAATTCACAAATTAACGTAACCGTTGGCTCCCAACAGAAGCAGGATACCAGCAGATAATATATGCATATACTATACATTTATTTATTCAATTTATATAAATCTGGAAACCTGTATTTGCATACAGTAAACTTGTCGATTGCAGGACAAGTGAATATATCCTGCATTGAACACGAACGATACATTTGAGTCAATAGTTTGTGTTAGCTCACAAGGTAATAATTACAAATACATGTACATGTACGTTTCACGAGAATCCGTTGGTTTGATTGGCTAACAACAGTCGCACGTCATTCAAAAATTAACCTTCATATAAAAATGAAATGTTACATTCGTGATGACACGTGCTTCCACCAAAAAGTGCACAGGTAAATAAAAGAAAAATTTTAGAAAACTTTATTTTCATGGTCTTATTAGCATAAAAATGTAATTATAAGAAATAATCCGCACAAACACAGTATCGTAAAACCTGCATAAGAGGACACCTGTATTAAGCAAAACCCTGTGTTATAAGACAACCAATTTCAGGTCCCGCTGTAGTGCATTTCATATAGATTTAACCTGTATGAAAAGACCACCTGCCTTATGAGACCACTATTTTGCTCTCACTTAAGTGGTTCCTCGAAACAGGTTTCACTGTTCATTCTGTACTAAAAGAACTTTGCTACAAAAACTCTAATCTCATGTACATCACCACATGATGATGTGTCTATACAGTCTCTCCAAATTGAATAGTCCTTGCTCTTGATTCAAAATGTCGCATGCTTGACTGAAAATCAACAACTACAAATGTGACCCGTATACGTAATTTTTAATTCTATGGACTTTTATATTCATTTACCTTAGAATCGAAAAAATGATTGATTGATTGTTGGTTGCTTAACGTCCAGTGGCAAATATGTCATGCATATTCAGGACGATCGAAAAAATGATACATGTTTCTTAAAAATAACCCCACCACATTGTGTGTCTGTACCAGGTCAGGCAATAAGGACCGTTTTTGTTTGTCTTTATTCATATCTTATCGAAGGAGTCGGACGTTGTTGGTTAGTGTGGTCTGGTGTGTTGTTCAATATTTTTGGTAATTCTCGATATCCTTTTTATGTATTATTCAGCTTAAACATTGTTAAACAGGCCGCACTCAAGCGTTTTTAAAACATATTAAGATGATACAGAAGTTTGTGAATCGAACACTTCCCTAATACCGAACAACAACCAAAGGGCAACACTACCTCGTCCAATATACCGTTTGTTTCTGTGTATCATATTTGTTTTTCGTTCATTGTTTTGTACATAAATTAGGCCGTTAGTTTTACCGTTTGAATTGTTTTACATTTGTCATTTCGGGGCCTTTTATATCTGACTATGCGGTATTGGTGGTTTTCATTGTTGAAGGCCGTACGGTGACCTATAGTTGTTAATTTCTGTGTCATTTGGTCTCTTGTGGAGAGTTGTCTCGTTGGCAATTATACCACATCTTCTTATTTTTATATTAAATACATTTATACTAAGTATGGATGAATGCAGATACACAATTCTGTGTATTCCATGTTAACATTATTTGAATATTTTCCTAGTGATTTTTGTTATATATCTGTCATAATATACACACATTAACGTATATATTATTTAAGTATACTTGATTCTCTTGGATTACGCTTAAAGACTTTTTACGGTTGTTTTCAATTCGTTCCGTAGTTTGATAAAGTCGAGCGTTTGATATTGTCAGGTTTAATGGACTTCAACTTTTTTTTTTTAATTTTCATACCGTGGTTATTAATTGCCGATAGTTAAGGAGATGATTGAATTCCGAACAAAATCTAAAACGTCTACATTTATTAGCTTAGCTGACCTAGAAAACAGACAAAAGAACGACACACTCTTTGATTCCTGAAATTGATTATGGAATTAATATTGAGATATGCATTCTTACCTAACCACATTATGTTCTAACTAGACTAATCAGATGGAATTAAAGAATCGATAGTGTATCAAGTTGTGAATACGTGCATTTTGTTATTTCAGACAATGCTGGAAAAAGTATATTCGAAATGAGACAAGAGCGATTTTCAAGGACTTCTCTTCGCGATTCTATGAGGTAAGTTTTTAAAGAGTTTTTACATTAGGTGACACGGTAGTATGTCCTAGACCATAGGGATAATGATACTAGCCTTTTTAGAATTTCACAACTTTCTAACACTGACCCTGAACCTACATACACAGTTAACAGAAGTACTTTCATTATAATATTCAGAAATACAATTAAATACGTATGATGACCTTTTACTTTTCTGCTATCTTTATCAACCTAAGGCTACTAGTGGTTTTAGGTCTTTTATATGCAGTAAATACAAAATTTAAATTCTCAAAATTCATTTTCACCTGTATGTTAAATTATTCATATTTTTCAACACCTGATTCATCCCTCAGTTTGGAAAAAAATATGTTCAGCAGATGCTGTATTTTTTTTGTACAAGCACATTGTTCAGATACATTGACCTAAGTATAGGGTACATAAAAGAGCAACCTAGTTCCCGGAAAGTAAATACTACCTTTACTTTAATTCACCACCAACGATGATAATATATATATATATATACCACGCCCATCGCCGATGGTTGAGGAGATGACTGGATTCCGATCAACATTTTGAAGAATGTTACCAAAGAAAAGAAAAGACTGCTTATAAAAAATTACAGTTACTAGTAGTCAATTTTTGGAGAGTTTGGTGCACTTTTAAGGATCAAATTTCACCTGCTGGTAGAATTAATTCCCAAAATGTGATTTGTCCAGTAGCTAATATTTGACGATGGCCTTGTTTATAATGTTAACTTTATCAATTTTAACAAAATCTAGCTTTGTAATTCCCTCAGGAAAATTTAAATACTTTATTTATATTGCAGAGCTCCCTTATGAACTGCTTCGAATAGAAATCGACATTATGCAAGTGTACGTATACGTGTACATGCATAATACTTTGATTGATTTTGGAACATTCAAATACGAAATAAAAGATGAATGTTGGTCTGTTTTGTAGGGTTCTTTTATCAACTTTATTTTCAAACAGTATATACTTTGCATAGAGATTTTTCAACCCAAAAAGCAGATGTCTTGATATTCATTTGAACAAGGTCGATTTCATCGGACGCAGCTCATATTAAGATTTGGCTCCTGTCTTTCTCGTCTTAATGTAAGAGGGTCTGAATGGGGTTAACAGAATAAAGATTAAATGACCAATATTACAGAAAATGGTCAAAAAAAGTACAGATTAGAGAAAAAATAGGTTACAAAAAAATAAAGAATAGAGAATAATGGGCAAATATACAAAGAAAAGGGAAAAATGACTTAAAAAAATAAAGAATACTGAAAAGAAGGACCCATCACCCAGACCCTCATGTAATGATCGTCATCTTCTTATCTGTTTTAAGAATGTGAATATAAGAAGATGTGATGTATATGTAAATAAAAATGAGATCAAGGTACCGAAGGGGCATTCGAATATCAAAAGTTGAATAAAAACAAAAAATACCATGGCCAAAAATAAAAACAAAAAATACCATGGCCAAAAATAAAAACAAAAAATACCATGGTCAAAAATAAAAACAAAAAATACCATGGTCAAAAATAAAAACAAAAAATACCATGGTCAAAAATTAAACAAAAAATACCATGGTAAAAAATAAAAACAAAAAATACCATGGCCAAAAATAAAAATGACGAAACGACAAACAACAATAACAAAACATTACATAGAGAACTAAAGATTGAGCAACACTGAAAACATGTGATAAGGTAATCAATTCCTGTTCCACATGTGGCACCTGTCGTGTTGTTCAATAAGACAGCAACCCAATGAAACATCAAAAGAAATCCAGAGGTCAACAATATACCGGTTCTATACAATTTGCCATGCTTTTAATTGCCTTGAGTTCAAATTTAATAGTGACTGTCAAAGAAAGACCTGTCATCGACAAAAAATATCCTGATAAAAAAAATCAACTAACTTGAACTGTAAGTGAACTCCAGAAAGGATGCCCCTATCTGACATATGCGGTTATCTCTTTTTTATACGACCGCAAAAAAATTTTGAGGTCGTATATTGGTATGACGTTGGCGTCGTCGTCGTCGTCGTCGTCGTCGTCGTCGTCCGACGTCGTCGTCCGAATACACAATGGTTTTCGCACTCTAACTTTAGTTTAAGTGAATGGATCTCTATGAAATTTTACCATAAGGTTCAATACCACAATAGGAAGGTGGGGATTGATTTTGGGGGTTATGGTACCAACAGTTAAGGAATTAGGGGCCAAAAAGGGGCCGAAAATAAGCATTTTTGTAACTTCCAGACATAACTTGTGTGTTAGTTAGCATATGGATCTCTTTGACATTGTACCACAAGATTCCATATCACAAAGGGTCAATGCTGGGATTGATTTTGGGGTTAATTACCTCAAAATTTTAGGAATAAGGGGCCAAAAGGGGGCAAAAAACAAGCATTTTTCTAGTTTCATGACAATAACTTATGTGTAAGTGTATGGATCTTTCTGAAATTTTACTACAAGGTTCCATTTCACAAAGGGAAAGCTGGAATTGAGTGTTGTGGTAATTGCCCAAAACGTTTAGTAATAAGGGGCTTAAAAAGGGGTTTAAAATAAGCATTTTTTAGTTTCTAGACAATAACTTGTGTTCAAGTGTATGGATCTCTCTAAAATTGTATTACAAGGTACCATACCACAAAGGCAAGGCTGTTATTGAGCTTGGTTTTGGGGGAAAGGGGGGTGGGGGTGATGAATCATAAGGGGGGCGGGGGTCAAAAAAGGGGTAATTTTTTTTTTTCCTTTTTTTTTTTGTTTAAAATTTACATTTTAAGTTAGTTATTTTTTATCACGAAGAGAAAGTAGGAATTGAGTTTTGGGGTTAATTGCTCAAACATTTATGAATAAGTGCCAAATATTGGTCGAAAATAAGGATTTTTTTAGTTTGCAACAAAAACTTGTGTTCAAGTGTATGGATCTCTGTGAAATTGTATTGCAATGTACCATACCACAAATTGAAGGTTGTGATTGAGGTGGGGGATGATGAATCAAAAGGGGGTTGAAAAAATGTGTGGGGGGTAGGATTTTTTTTTTTCCTTTTTTTTTCTTTAAAATTTTCCATTTAAAGATGGTTGTTTCAGATTTATATATGAAAGAAAATAATAATGATACGGTTATATATCATGAGGAATTGAAATTTAAAATTATGTATATTGGAAATTTAGGTTACATTGGAAAGTAATAATTGGCTTTGGGGGGGGGGGGGGGGGGGGGTTATGGCTCTAATGTTTAAGGAATAAGGGGAAAAAAGGTTAAAAAACAAGGGTTTCCGTTTTAATAGACAAATAATTGAGTAAAGAACATTATTTAAAAGCAGTGTAAGGTTGGTAATTCAAACTCATTTAAATATCTCATCTACACTGCTTTTAAATTATGTAAATTGGAAATTTGCCAATAACTTTATTGTTAATAAATGCATTGGAAATTTGCCAACAATTTTAGTGTAATAAACTTCATTGGAAATTTGCCAATATAAAATTTTGCTGATGAAGGTTTTTTGTTTACCTTTAGCCTTGACTATGAAGTCATTTTCTATTTTTATAGCCTTATGATGTAGTTGAATTATTTAATACTTTTATGATGTGTTTAAATGGGGTTTTATCATGTTTATGGTTGCAAATTTATTGTTTTAGTATAATAAACTCCATTTAAAATTTGCCAATAAAAAAAATTTTGTTTATTTTTAGCTATGATTATGATGTCATTTTCTATTTTACTTTTATGGTTGCAAAGAAATTTTTATTTTTAGATATTACTGTTAAATGATGCTGATTAAGGTTTTTGCTATGTTTAGCCATGACTATGATGTCATTTTCTATTATAATATCTGTTATGATGTATTTAAATGGGCTTTTATGGTTACAAAGGAATTTTTTTTTAGATATTACTATAAAATGTTGCTGATGCTGATTAAGGATTTTGTTTATTTTTAGCCATGACTATGATGTCATTTTCTATTTTAATACCTTTATGATGTAATTTCCATTTTTAGATATTACTGTTAAATGATGCTGATTAAGGGTTTTTTGCTATGTTTAGCCATGACTATGATGTCATTTTCTATTTTAATATCTTTATGATGTATTTAAATGGGCTTTTATGGTTACAAAGGAATTTTATTTTTAGATATTACTTTAAATGTTGCTGATTAAGGATTTTTGTTTATTTTTAGCCATGACTATGATGTCACTTTCTATTTTAATACCTTTATGATGTATTTAAATGGGCTCCCATGTATTTAGATTTTTGATTATTTATACATGTTACCAAATTGGTCCACATTGAACAAAAACGGTCCAAATTTCAACTTTATTACATTACATCAAACATTGAATTCTACATATTCTTTGATATATTGAAATTAACAAACAATTTAGTTTATGGATATTCCACCATAATAGGTAAATTAAATTTTTTCCAGTTCTTACACCACATTCATCCTGTGTCAGAAACCTATGCTGTGTCAAATATTTAATGACAATCCAAAGTCATAGCTGTATCAAGCTTGAATTTTGTGTCCATACTTGCCCCAACTGTTCAGGGTTCGACCTCTGCGGTCGTATCAAGCTGCGCCCCAGCGAAGCATTTTATTAACATATTGGACCGGAATTATATTCCTTTATCCTTATCCTTGGATAGTATTCTACAGCTGTGTAAAGTCTCACCAATATGCATTGGTTACGAGGAGTTGGGCTTACAAGGCATAGACAGACGGAAGATCAGCGAGATTTCCATATTCCCCCAAATTTTTGTTTGCGGTGAATAAAGCATTAAGATATTACCAAAGAGATGGAAAAAACACTGACGAGTTTCATGAATTGTTGACTTGAGACAGGCACATGAGCATTAGTCGTAGTTAAACTTGTTTTTTGATATGACAATATATTCCCCATTGACAATATATTCCCTATTGACAATATATTTCGATTTTTTTGTAGATCCAGATCAAAACAATCCCCGCCATCGGACCCTGATAATGTTGGAACTCCGGACATCATCGCGTCTGTAGATGTTGGTTCGACGTATTCTGGTTATGCTTTCGCCATCACAAAAGATCTGGACGAAGATCGTCACAGTATTCATGTCAATAAGGAATGGATATCCGGAAACGCCAAATTAATCACATACAAGGCACCAAGTTGTGTTTTATTTACTCCGGAAAAAAGACTACATTCTTTTGGATACGAAGCTGAGTATAAATATGGACAGCTAGCTCTGGATAAAGTACATACATCATGGTATTATTTTCGGAGATTTAAGATTCCAGTTTTAGAGGATGAGGTAAATATTCATTTTTAATTTCTTTGTTATTATGTAATATCATTTACTTACCATAAGAAACACAACTGGTGCCGAATGTGGAGAAGAAAATTGCTTATCATTCCGGAGCACCTGATATCAACTGCCTTTTTATGTAGTGTTTTGTAGTTTGGTATTTGTCTTTTCGGCTTTTTTTCCCCCTTTCACTTATTAATTTTTATTCGCCCTTTGGTATCCTCCTGCATTTTCTAAAAGCCTCAGCCATACATGTCCTGTCTTTGGCAGTGATTTTTAACGTAATACTTTTTTTGTAATAACTCAAAAATATGCAGAAATAAAACTAGAAATTTACACTTTTTTAGTGCATTTAAAGATTTTGCTTATGTTTACTTAAACTGAAATTCCAATGTGTTAGCTTTTAATTACCTCGGGCGTTTCTGGCAGTTCTGACTAGACTTTCTTTGGCATTTGTTTGAAGGTAAACAATATGTCACTGTGAAATGAAAAATAATCTTTTACAATATAAATACACATAAACAAGCCTCTCCTGCTTGTATTCTGAATCCTGATTTAATTTGATTTTATATTGATAATATAAGAATAAATTAATAATAAATGGTTTGTTACATAATAAAGATATTCTGAATGTCAACCAAGTTTCATGATAGACCAGAAAAAAAGGAAAAAAATGTAATTATAAAATGAAATATAAAAAAAAGGAGATGTGGTATGATTGCCAATGAGACAACTATCCACAAAGTTCAAATGAAGTGAATGTAAGCAATTATAGGCAACCGTACGGCCTTCAACAATGAAAAAACCCCATTCCGTAAATGTTTGTATTACTAAGTTTATTGAATGAATGATTTGATTTTATATTGTACATATTATCTAATACATCTTACATTAGAAATTCATACACATTTTCTTACAAGCTCTATTTTTAGAGATCTTCATATACTTTCTTCAATTTGCTGTTTCTTCCGAAATATGGATGCAGTATTTGCCGATAGACGTTAAGCAAGCTACAATCAATCAATCCATTTACTGTCTACCTTTAGTTCTACTCCATTAATTGATATACATTTCCAGACTTATGAGGTCCGATTGATAAGAACTGTTTTCCATGCAATGACAACAGGAAAACTTTCACACTTATTTATCATGTTTGAATTCTCTTAGTTTTTAGCTCACCGGGGCTCGAAGGGCCCCATGTGAGCTAATGCCACCACTTGGCATCCGTCGTCGTCTGTCGTCGTCGTCGTCTTTCGTCGTCGAAAACTATTTCAGTAATCTTCTCCTCTGAAACTACTGGGCCAAATACCTTCAAACTTTAACTGAATGTTCCATATTGTATATAGTTTATAAATTGTATCCGAAGTTTTGATCCATCAACAAACATGGCCGCCATGGCTAAAAATAGAACATAGGGGTCAAATGCAGTTTTTGGCTTTTATCTCAAAAACTAAAGTTAAACTAGAGTTAAAGTGATAAATGGGTCATGATCTATCCGTTATGAAATTTTCAGACAAGTTCGACAACCCATTGTTGGGTTACTGTTGGAAATAGTTTATTTTTAGTAAATTTTACTGTTTTTGATTATTTTCTTTAATATTATAATAAATAGAGAGAAAGTATAAATGGCAATAAATGTTCAGCTAAGTAAGATCTACAAATAAGTCAAAATGATCAAAATAGTCAATTGACCCCTTGAGGAGTTATTGCCCTTAAAACGTTTTTTTTTTACATTTTTTGTGAAAGTCCAATTACTTTTTCAAAAATCTTCTTCTCTTAAACTACTTTGCCAAATACTTAAAAACTTTAATTGAATGTTCCTTAGGGTATCTAGTTTATAGATTTTATTCAGGGATTTGATCCATTTAAAAACATGGCGGCAGTTTTTAAAAATAGAACATAGGGGTCAAATGAAGATTTTGGCTTTCATCTCAAAAACTAAAGCAGTAAGAGCAAAACTGACATAGGTGAAAGTGTTATAACAGGTTTAGATCTACCTTTCAATTAATCTTCAGACCAATAGGACAACTTATTGTTGGGTTACTGTCCACAAATAGTTAATTTTTAGGAAATTTTACAGTTATGGGTTATGTATTATTTTTAATATTATTATAGAAAGATAGAAAGTGCAAATCACAAAATTGTTCAGCAAAGTAAGATCTACAAATCAGTCAAATGCCTGAAACTGAAATTACAGAAGGTGAGCGATATCAGGCTCTCATGAGCCTCTTGTTTTCTATGCACTGGAAGATCTCATTTCTCTAATAAAATTTAATCTTTCAGATGCTGGATTTTTCTATATAGAACTTCAAATCATAGCAAAATAAGGATTTGAGAAATATAATTTTATGTTTTCGTCCGTCAAAAGGACCTCTTAGCTTCACTTATCTATAGTTCGTTCATTTTTTGTCTCTTCCAGACTCTAAGCACTGCCACCAATATAAAAGATGATTCAGGTAAACCTCTCCGAGCCGCTGCAGTATTTTGTGGAATACTAAAGTACCTACGGTCACACTTGATTGACGCTTTAGCCGGAATCCTTAAAGTCTCCAACTCTGATTGGATAGTTGAAAAATTCCATATACGATGGGTCTTGACACATCCAGCAACGTGGACAGACAATGGGCAACACTTTCTAAAAGTCGCTGCCAAGCAGGTAAGTCCAAGAAATATCACCCCTTCCTTTCCCATACATATTCTTTAAAGGTAAGGTCAAATGGTTTCCCCTTTTAATATAATCCATTGAACAAAATTGTGAAAAATTGAATTGTTGCTGTATATTTAACGTTAAACCATCATTTCTGCAATTCTAAACATGTTTTATTCCATTTGAACGTGATACAGGTTAAAAAAATCTCAAAAATGTAAGTTTTGAAAATCGTTGACACTATGGGATAAGGATTTTTCTCATCTGTAAATCGGACAAGTCGAAGGAAGGGAAAATTTACGCTTGAATCTGATTACATTTGAAATTTAAAATTTACATGCACAAGATGATAGAAGGGATTACTTAAAACTAAAACATGTGCTTCTAGTTGCAATTAGGAATTACATTGTATTCTGACTGAAGACTGGAAGTTACTTATAATATAAAATGTTCTGATAACATTTAGTAATCCTTTTTATATGGTTGTATGCGTGATGTGTATTCACTGGATATAACTTATCAACTTATTTTATAAGTGTAGCACGACGGGTGCCACATGTGGAGCAGGATCTGCTTACCCTTCCGGAGCACCTGAGATCAACCCCGGTTTTTGGTGGGGTTCGTGTTGCTCAGTCTTTAGTTTTTTTATGTTGTGTTTTGTGTAATGTTGTTTGTCTGTTGTTCTTTTTATTTTTTGGTCATGGCGTTGTCAATTATTTTATTTCGACTTATGAGTTTGAATGTTCCTTTGGTATCTTTCGACTCTCTTGTACATAAAGATTCTTTTATTCAGTTTGCGAGTTAATCGATTGGATTTTCATACGGATAACCCTTTAGAAAAATGTATTTAATCATACAGTAAAACCTCTGTTTGTATTTACAGGCAGGAATTGCAGACGTGATACTGGTACCAGAACCAGTTGCAGCTTCATTTTATTGTCAGATTATGCCCCTCCACAGAATTAACACGAGAAATGGCGAGATTATATGTTTACAAAGGACAGGGATGCAGTATTTACTGTTGGATTTGGGAGGCAAGTTTTTTTTTTTTTATTATTTCCACTGAAATTGTCATAAAGATATTGACAAATTTGGTCCAAAAAAGCCTGTGGTGAACGGCCACATTGTCGGACAGTGTATGATAGTATTTGTATGATTACTTTTCCAGTCAGATTTAATTCATCATTAGTTGATACGTAGGGACGTCTTGATCTTGAGCCTTATGTTTTGAGGCTCCCAATTATGACTTTGGAATAACAGAAAGCAATAAAAGCGCTGTTCCTTTGCTTTTTATTGTGCATGTAGTGATTTTATGTCTTTGAAAATGATACACCAGTTCCTCTTTTTTCCAAAACATAAATATTCAACACGTGAAAGGATGGGTACTCAACAAAAACATCCATTTTCCATATTTTTGTTTCAATACTATTGGCTTGGTTGTTTTTGTTTTACTTTCACGATGACTAAATGTTTGTTGGCCTTGGAAATTTAATGTAAAAAAGAAAGAGCAGAACGAAATCAATGTTATGGGAGAAAAGTCAATAATGGACCATTCATTTATTTTAAATATTCCGTGTTATGAATGATCTTACATGTTTTGTTAATTATTGATATATGTAATTAGTAATGTCATGATACACTTGGCTTTCGGAGAACAGAGGGCCTGAATTGGGTTTACAGAATAGAGAATACTGCAGAAAATGGGTAAAAAAATAAGGAATATAGAAAATTAGGCCAAAACATAAAGAAAAGAAATTAATGGGGTGCTAAAATATAAAGAATAGACGAAAATGGGCAAAATTTATAAAGAATAGAGATAAATTAAAGAATACAGAATTGAAGGACCCCATCTAGACCTTCATAACAACGTGTCAGGCTTTGTTAATAAAACATTTGTATAAAACGTAAATGAGGCGACAACCAATCATAACAAACATAACAAACATGTCGCTAAACGACAAGAACTACGCATGATTAACCAAATATCAACAACAACAAACACCAACACAAATTATACAGAAAATAACCGCACCAATGATATTCCATGCCATCACAGATCGAGCGCTTACAAAAGTGCTGGTGATACCTCCCCCGGGACCAACACGTCCACTATCAGTTCTATAGTAAGGAAAAAACATAGAATATATAAAATTGGGGCAATATAAGGTTAAATTATATGTTGAACCCTATGTTGTTTTTTTTTTTGGGGGGGGGGGGGGGGGGGGGAGGGGGGGATTTTCCGTCTCATTGTTGTGTTCTTCTTTTTCATATTTTAAACTCCGAAAAAAAAACCGGAAATTTGAAATACGCTTCTTATGAACTCGCTTCTTGAAACGGTTTCAGCTTGAGAAAATGTCGTTGAACTGAATCTTTTTACCTTTTGAACAACAAAAAATCAAACAGGCGTAGCCGTACAGCTTTTAATGTCATAATTGTCATTTGAAAAAAGTATTCGAGCGACGCATACTAGTTTTACACTTCACTCTGCTCAGGTTTATGGAACTAAAATCCAAATGTACTAGGTAGTCGTCATCAGTTGATCATTTACTATTCCCTATCATGTTTGTTTTATAAAATGTGTCTCGGTTTTTAAATTTATATAATATAATTTTGGATGTAATACGTCTTCTGATTGGCTGACAGTTTTTTGTCTATCAGCTCATAGACATAATTTTGTCATGTAACCGTGACGTCATCAACTTTTTTTTCATGATTTACTCCGTAAAAAAGGAATTCAAATTGAATTATAAGGAATGACCGTAATATCTTTTCTGTATATTCAAAAAAACTCAAAAATGTGTTCCACATTTTTAAATGTGTGCACCACATTTTTTATGTTATTTCTACATAGACAGAAAAAATATTACAGTCATTCCTTAGATAGAATTTAATGTTGTTTTCTTTATTGATTGATAGATTGATCGGTTGGTGGGTTTATGGTGATTTTCAGCACCATTTCATGGCTATATCGTGTCGTCCAGATGTTATTGGTGGAGGAAGCCGGGGTGCCCGGAGAAAACCACGACCTTCTGCAGGAAAACTGACAATCCTAGTCAATTAAGATTTGAACCGAACTCACAACCACAGTGTTGACAGGCTAGTGATACAGTAGACAACTATTAGAACAACCCAACCACCTAGGCCCCCACGCGTTTCTGAAAATTTATACGAAATGGAGCTAATTATTTTATAATTATGGTTTACTTTCATTCGGCATGGGTTGTTTTCATATAACCATAAACTACTGTCTTCTTATAACGTAAGGATTTTTTTTCATATATATTTTGAATCACCTTAGATAACTGTTACCATTTAATAGAGGATCTTTAACCTTTTTTCAGGGGGGACAGTCGATTCTACTGTAATGGAACTTGATGAAAACAACGAATTAAAACAGAAACAGAGAAGTTGTGGAGCGGTTTTTGGTGGAATTAGGGTAGATGGCGCTTTTGTCGAATTTTTAATGAAGTTGATAGGTTTTGATATCATGGACAAGTTCTTCCTAACTTGCAAACAGGAACTTTTAAACCTCCAGAAAGATTTTGAGATTAAAAAAAGAACTTTTAATCCTGCAAACGGACAAAGCATTGTTATCAAACTACCGCCCATGGTACGGAAAATTTACGAAGTAAACTATAAACAACAACTGCAATTAAAAGTAGAAAATTCCGAGTACGGCGAGCTGGTTAAGCTTGTTGGAGATAACTTGCATATTGATGTTGAGATAGTTGAAAGTTTCTACACAGTTGTGGCCGAGCAGATTACTTCACATTTAGTAAAAATCTTATACGCCGGTACAGCAAAAGACATCAAAACACTTGTTCTTGCTGGAGGATTTGCAAATTCCGTCATTGTCCAGAACGCCATTCGGAAGAAGTTTCCGGATATTACAATCCTGATGCCGACCGATCCGGAACTTTCTGTCATGCAAGGCGGAGTATTATACGGTTATGAATCTAACCCAATTCTTTATATGAAGGCGAAATATTCTTACGGTACTGCTATTGCCATGCCTTACAATGTGCATGAACATAATGACGACAAAAAGTTCTCAGCAGATGGCGTTCCGTTATGTGCAGACCTGTTTCATAGGTATATCGAAGTAGGAGAAGAAATTCGAATTGGAGAATTTGTCAGAACTGGGGCAATATTTATCAATCGCAAAGACCAGCGTTATCTTAGTGTGCCGATTTACTTATCCACAGTTGCTTCCCCTTTATACACTTCCGACAATGCATGTCATTATCTCGGACGAATTCGGATTACGCTAGTGTCAAATCGAAAAGAAAATTCTCAAATAACAATCAAGATGGCATTGACATACACAGAATTAATAGTCGAAGTAACGGACGAAGGAAGTGGGAGAACCGTTAGGGATGTATTTTTAGATTCTCCCGTTGACTGAGTCGGTGAATTGATGAAGATCGTCTTTTATTGATTAAAAGCGTTTCAATCGTTTTCGTTTTTCAGGAAAATAACCAAATTTTCAACCAAATGAATGATGTTCGATTGTTTTTGTCATTTGCTTCAAGCAATCAGAAACGAGGTGTTGCCTATAAAGTAATGAAACAAAAAGTGAAAGACAGACGCTAACTGAAACAACAATGTAAATCTATGAAACAAGACTAATTCCAGAAATGATTTTCGTCTAAAAAAATTCAATTGGACAATTGAACTTGATCTTATACAAGCTTTTATTTAAATCATAACGTGCACGGGTTACATGTTTTTTTTTTATTTCCCGAGTCACACACATATAAAATATATTTCTCTCTTATAATTAATTTGATCACTTAATAATTCGAGAAAACCGTTAAGTGAGCTATTTGTGATTTCTTTGTCGCCTATATGTTGAATTACTGTCTACTTTATGGATCGAATTTAACGATTTATTATTATATTCTATTTATAGGTGTTAAAAAGTAAACGAGTACACCCATGCTCAAAGTGTTTTCAAATACTGTTGACACTAATTTGCAGGTAACATTGAGAGATATCACGGTTCGTGCTTCCAGACAGTATGTGTGTTTCCTCTTTACTAAATTGTGATTGGTCAATGAAAAGGAAGTGCGCTAAATACTAAATTGTGATTGGCCAATGAAATAGAAATACGAAAAACTCTAAAATTGTGATTGGTCAATCATTGAATGAAAAGGAAATACGCAAAATACTGAATTGCATGTGATTAACTGATGAAAAAGAAAATACACTTTCTTGTAAATTATTTATGTGTATAACTATTTAGTATTTTATACAGCTTGTAAATGTTCAATTGTTGTTAACTTTTTCAAACTTTGCGTCGAGCTTTCAATTTACTGTATATCGCCTCCCTTTGTTATGTTTTAATTTAAATTAAATCTATTTTCCATATTCGCTTTTTTTGTATGTTTATCAAAACACCAAAAGAAAGTGAAAAAAAAATAACAATAAAAGCTTTATTTGGAGTTTGTGATTTGGGAGATGTTAGAATCTTTTGTGTATTTATACCTAGTAAGGCATTCCATCTAGAATTACAGAACGAAATTACAATAAAAATGTGCCAAATAAGGCTAAAGAAAAGCATTCACAATCTGAATTAATCTTTCTACTTATTTTGAAGTTGCTGTACTAAAACATTTATGCAATATCTATTTTCTATATGACTTTGTGTAGCTGTATTGTAAGTCACTGTTAAAATGATGTTTTAACATGTGGAAGACACGTTATATGAACAAAATGATGCGTTGGATACTGTTTGATGAGTCAGCAATCCGACAGCACAGAAAATCACTTAAAGACAATTAATAAAAGTAAAGCATATGGCCTGCAACTTATTATAAGGATAATTGTAAATAAAATGCAATAGTAAGCAGAAATCAGTATGACTGTTGTCTTTTATAAATTCTTTAAAATGTACTGTCAAAAATACTCTAGCTATATGGTAAGCTGTATGCCTTAATCTTTCCTAGTTGGTAGCGGAAGCGGAAGAAGGCAATATCAAACGGAAATGACGCTTAGTTTTAGTGTGTGTCGTAAAATAAAGATGTCGTAATTGTACGTCAAAAACAACTGACATGTTTTGGCTTGAAAGAGGCATGCAACCATGTTATCAAGTTAATAGCAATTACCGAGTACTCAACACTCTCCTTACATAGACATCATGATGAGTGAAAAGTAATGTCACAGTGAAACAAACACAGAATTTTACGACTAATCTCAAAGGAAAACCATACACTAGGAAACAAACTTTAGACTAAAACGGATATTTTGATCTCACCATCATCTCAAATATCTGAACCTAAAACCGTTAAAGGGGCATAAGCTGTCAAATTTATGATTACCGATTTAACTCAAATTCTCATATTTGATTTATATAAACATGCTATAACGTATATCCAAATTACACATAAAAGTTTTAAATAAACAATTAACAACGCATGGACCCGATAACATGTATCAGCATTTCGTGTTTATTTTTGTTTAGATGCCATCTAATTAACCATCGAGATGACCTTCGAAGACTGCCGACGGTCATGTAACCTTATATAAATAGATAGCGAGCAAGTGCAATTGGATTTTCTAAGTCTGTTTGATTTCATGTTTTAGGTTAAAAAAAATATTTTAATCATCGTTTTTACCTGTATTAGAATTATTTTTTGTGGATCGAATCGGTCAACGAAATGGTTCACCCTTGTTTCACTTTCAATGTTGACATTCTTTTCCTTTTAATAGCTGAACACGTCTAGTACATACATAACATATCTCTAGCTTAGGGGTATTTTTTTATTGTCACATGGATAATGATTCAATGAGGTTGAATTATTGACTTGCAAGTCAATAATACATCAGCGATGTTTTGAACTTATATTGACGATCGACCAAACTGACTGCTAATAACAAACTATCATTTAAAATTCCGCTTTTATTAATACTTGAAACAAAAAGATTGGTATTTAATTTTTTATCTAAGTCGTATCTAATGCCCGAATAAGTCTTGTTCGTTTAAGTATATATTTTTTTTTAAATTCAGTACTGTTCTTGGCTGTTCATTATCCCTTCAGACAATTCAATGTGTTTTGAACTGGTATGAAATGACCCAAGGCGAGTTGTCTGAATAGCACTGATTAACGAGCGAGAGTCTAAATGGGGTCCACAGAATAAAAAACCACGGGCCAAATCTGTAGAAAAATGGGCCGAAAAGAGAAGAGAAAAATAGAGAAAATGGAGTGCAAAAATACAATGAATAGAGCATAATGAGCAAACCATATTAGGAATAGAGAAAAACAATAAAAAAGCCCGAATACAGAAATTAAGGACCCCATCTAGACCCTCATTTACTGCAGTGAATAAGTCTGGGCATTTACCAAACACTGAACAGGACTTAATAATCTATTGTTCAGCCTTTTAAGAGCTGTTCAGATCAAAATGACTGTTTCAATTCAAAACTATATAGTTTACAAATGAGAACTCAATAATACCTTGTACAATTGACCTTATAATTCAAAGTCTGTTATTCAGTCTGAATAATTCAAACAGAAATCTCCAACTGTGATCGATTTTATAAGCATGACATCAAAGTTCTATTGTTCCAATAAAAGCTTTATTTACAACTAGCTTAGGCAAGCAAACATTAGAATAATAGTGTTTTTTAGGATTTAATTCTTTATTTACTCACTTTGAGTTTGATAGTTCATAGTGGAGTGTTGTTACAACAAAGGTGTGAACATGGTTATCAGACAAATCTTTGATATTCACGGATTTTTTTTAAGTTTGTTTATACGTCCGTATGGATTGATTGATTATGCTGTGGTTATACGTCCAATTGTATGACTAATTAATTGATTGAACCGGTGGTGACTTGTGAACGTCAAGAGGTTTATTTTGTAATCGATTGACTGTTGTTTGCTTAATTAACAACCAGAGGTAAATATTTGGACGAGAACAGTTAATACAGTATAGGTAGGTAGGCTCTGTAAGATACATAGTAGGTCGACCGGGTGTTCTGTTAGATACATTGCAGGTCGACCGGGTGTTCTGCAAGATACATTGTAGGTCAACCGGGTGTTCTGCAAGATACATTGTAGGTCGACCGGGTGTTCTGCAAGATACATTGTAGGTCGACCGGGTGCTCTGCAAGATACATTGTAGGTCGACCGGATGTTTTGCAAGATACTTTGTAGGTCGACCGGATGTTCTGCAAGATACATTGTAGGTCGACCGGGTGTTCTGTAAGATACATTGTAGGTCGACCGGGTGTTCTGCAAGATACATTGTAGGTCGACCGGGTGTTCTGCAAGATACATTGTAGGTCGACCGGGTGTTCTGCAAGATACTTTGTATACTAGTTTATAGATCGACCGGGTGTTCTGCAAGATACTTTGTATATATAGGTCGACCGGGTGTTCTGCAAGATACGTTGTAGGTCGACCGGGTGTTCTGCAAGATACTTTGTAGGTCGGCTGTGTTCTGCAAGATACATTGTAGGTCGACCGGGTGTTCTGCAAGATACATTGTAGGTCGACCGGGTGTTCTGCAAGATACTTTGTAGGTCGTCCGGGTGTTCTGCATGCAAGATTCTTTGTAGGTCGACCGGGTGTTCTGCATGCAAGATTCGTTGTAGGTCGACCGGATGTTCCGCAAGATGCATTGAAGGGCGACCGGGTAAAGGACAAGATATTTGGTCTATCGCTAGAAAAACTGAAGTTATGTTTTATAGGATCGGAAATATTGCCTAGCAGTGGCCCATCTACGGACCCCTAAGACATTTAAGTCAAACGTTCTTTAACGTACAAAGAGCGTGGCACTCATCTTATTCGAGAATTCCTCGTTTCAAATGGATGTAGCTGAGTTATTATACATCCCACACAGCCAAACCTTCGTATTTATACATCCCACACAGCTAAACCTGCGTATTTGTACATCCCACACAACCAAACCTGCGTATTTATACATCCCACACTACCAAAACTGCGTATTTGTACATCCCACACAACCAAACCTGCGTATTTATACATCCCACACTACCAAACCTGCGTATTTATACAACCCACACAGCCAAACCTGCGTATTTATACATCCCACACAGCCAAACCTGCGTATTTATACACTCCACACTACCAAACAGACGCCCCACTTTAGCAAGGGTTTTACTACCGGACAGGAGAAATCCAGGTTATGTTACATAGCCCAGACAACCAACTTTATATAACATTTATTATATACATATTTACAGACATCTTTACAAGGACACAATCAACTGCATCATGAAGGAATTGAAAAGTTTTTTTTCAGTTGAATGCAAATTAGTTTCAGGTTCTGAGCTTTGAAAAACCTATCTTCTGAAAAAAAGTTGTATATTGCCCTTTAGATACGGTAACTTTTAGTTACTTTTGTTGTTGATGTTGTTGATGTTGTTATGTTACTAACTCTGTTGAATTTATTGTAATGTTTCTCTCTCTTACATGCTGAATGTGCATGAACTATTTGCAACTGGACGTAATGCAAACAACAATTGATCAATCAATTTTGTATTTTTGTTGTCTGGTATAGGTAGGTACACGACAGAGTGAGAAATGTATGTTTAGAGTGCAAAAGTACGTTTAGAAAGAGAGGTGTAGGATACCAAAGTGACATTCAAACTCATAGGTCGAAATGGAGAAACATATCTACTCTGCACTAAAGTCTTAGATTAAACAACTATAGTTTGAATCACTTCAATTCAAGAAATGTTTACTTTAACCGATTAAATAACCCACAGTCAACTACGATTAAAAAATGAAAAATAGAACAAATATCGTCAATTGGAGTATCTGCAACACACGTTTATGAAATGAAACAGCAAGTTCATATTTTACCCACTTAGTTGACATCTACTCGAACATATCCACTTAGTTGACATGAAAATATCCACTTAGTTGACATCTACCCGGACATATCCACTTAGTCTTAGTTGACATCTACCCGAACATATCCACTTAGTTTCCTCCACGTCCTTTTGTATGTGGTTGTTAGATGTCTCATTGGCAATCATACCACATCTCCTTTGGTCTCTGGTTCTTAGATGTCTCATTGACAGTCATACCACATCTCCTTTTAATTTTTATACATAAGGGTCTGGAGGGGCTCGTTCATTTCTGCATTATCACTTTAGGCCATTTTCTATATTTCTACATATTTTGGCTTTTATTCTCTATTCTCCTATATAAGTGCCCAATTATTCTCTATTTTTGTGGTCCATTTTCTCTATTTTTTATTTTTTTTTCTCCTTTATTCTTATCATGTAAACTCCATCTAGACCTTCATATATCAGTCTGGTTTCCCATTTATCAATCTGACCGTTACAAAAATTAGTATGATATATACCAGTCGATAGATGAAACCAACCCAAGAAA